GTGTCTTGAGAACTGGGCACGGCCCACTTGAGCCAGGGAAGTATTTTTTTCAGGGGAAGGGGGACAGGAGAGGCACAGATGGATGCTTCCAGGGAAGCGGGTGGCCAGGGCCTGCCGCTGACTGACAGGCCTGGAAAATCTGGTCCCCTTGGCCTGCTCAGTGTTGAGGCTCTTCACAGAGCTGGCTGCTCCAGTGGAAGCCATCACAGCGCCTGAAGCTGTAGCAGGGATCACTTCAGCCCTTGAGGGTGACTTTCCAGCTGGGGTTGCTGAGGGGTGAACTGATGGGATCCCAGAAGAGCCACCTGCCCCACAGAGGCTGCTGAGCCACTTCAGAAGGACGTTAGCCAGAGAGATAGTACAAGGGTGAAGGCACTTTCCTTGCATTCCACCAGCTTCAGAGCTGCACCACATATGGTTACCTGGAGCATTGCCAGGGAGCACTCCTGAGCACTGGGAATAGCCCCTGTGCACTGCTGGATGGCGCTCAACACCACCTCCAAAATGCATTCTTCCCTGATGTCCCCCCCTCCCCCAGTCCATCCCTTACTGCCAGTGAGTGTGAGTGTGGCCGGGGACAGACTGTCTTGGGGGCCCCAGGCTCCTTCCCCTGTCCTCTTCCTTTAGGACTCTTGGGAAGCCACAGGACAGGCTGCTGAGAGCTGGTCCCCATCACAGACACGAGCAGCATGCCCTTCATGAAGGCTTGATGCTGACCCCAGAGAACGAACAATCACGCGCTGGGGAGAGGGGACCACAGGCTAAGCACTTGCCTTGCACACTGCCCCGACCTGGGTTTGATTTATGGGGTTCCCCCACCCCACTCAAGAGGCATGATGCCTGAGTACAGAACCAGGAGTAATTCCTGAACACAGCTGGGTGCGGCCCCAGAGCCTTCCCCTGCTGCCCCCCCCCAAAAAAAAAGCAGAGCAGAGGAAGAATCGGGATGGAAGAGAAGAGATGGCCCCTCTGGCACAAGGTTCGGGTCGGTGCTTGGCCTTCCTTGCAGGTGGTAAGAGTTGACATATCTCCTAACCTGTCCATTTCTAAGAAACTTGCCCCCGGTCTTGTGAGGGGGACACGGAGTTGAGTGCTAAGATGTTCCCTGGTTGTCCTAGCACTGTGCCGCGGGGTTGCAGAGGTGAAGGAGCCCGTGGAGAGCAGGAGGCGGGTACAGGTGAGGCTCCTGTACAGAGATGCTGGTGCCACAGCTAAAGCACTCGGATCTGGCCTCTCTTGAGCTTCCCCAGAATAGGAAAAACAGAACAGTTTCTGGGGCCAGATGGAGTAAAAGCAAACCAGGCAGGGGGGGCTTGCCTTGCACCTGGTTGACCAGGTTCAGTCCCCGGCATCCCATAGGGTGCCTTGAGCCTGCCATAAGTGATCCCTGAATACAGAGCCAGGAGTAACACCTGAGCATCACCAGGTGTGGCCCCAAAACTGAAAATGCTTCTAGGGGTTCTCCCATGCAGTGCTCAGGGAGCTCAGAGGCCCCTCCCAGTCAGCCTCAGCGACCCTGACAGTTTAACGTGGGGCCCAGCTGTGGTGCTCAGGATCACCCCACTGGTTCTGTTCCAATGGCTGGGGAACAGCAATGTTTGGGCAACCCTGTGGCACTGGGGAATTTGAACTGGGCTTGGCTGTGCACGGCAAGCACCTTAACCCCAGTACCAGCTCTCCAAGACCCTTACAGAACCAAATCCCATCCCATCTGACCAAGAACTGCCCTAGGTATGGGCGTGAGGCTTGATGAATTGCTACCAACGTGGGACTAGCTCGGGCTACCCTCATCCTCTCTCCTGTGTATCTCAGACTTTGCCTGTCTGGACATTCCAACATCCCAGAGACACTGTAATTTGGGGCAAAGTAAGGAGGCTGGAGCAATAGTACAGCTGGTAGGGCACTTGCTTGCATACGGCTGGCCCAAGTTCTATTCTTGGCATCCCAGATGATTCCTCAAGCCTGATAGGAATGATTTCTGAGTGCAGAGCCAGGATAAGCCCTGAGCATTGCTGGGTGTGGCCCCCAAACAGAACAACAAAAGCATCAAGTCGGCCCTTGACTCAACAAGAGTGTTCATTAACTTCTTACGTATTTTTTTGATAAACAAAAATTCAAATAGGATGTGTGCCCCCCACAACATGCAAATAACAAAAACCGAGACAATTATCAAATTAGTCTCAAGATCTTTGCTCCACTCCAAATGCAAAAAAAGCAAGTTGTAAAATTTTCTCATGTAACTTTCATATAATCATAAAGATTCAGGATATTCCTATGTCCTTGAAAATAAGTATGTGAAAAAGTTTTCAAATGAAAAAGCCAAGTGAAACTCATGGAAATAAAGTGAGCCGTGGAACCAACTAAATGAACTAGAAATGTTTAAAACGGCTTTAAATCCACAGGTAGAGCTAAACTTTGTTTTTAGACCACACCCTGCAGTGCTCAGGGGACTATGTCAGGAACCAGGTGAGCCCCTTACCCACCATACTATCACTTCAGCCCAAATTATAGCTAATTTTAATGTCAAAATTTACCCTGGTAAATAGTCATGGTAGGATTAAATTTCCAGAATGTGTTCCCAAGACCAAAAATGGTCCCTGCTCACTAGCTATTTAAGACCTAAGTAAGCAGTTGCCCACCTTACTCTGTGAAGCAAGTCAGTATCTGGGGCTTTGCAGGCAGGATTGTGAGGCAATACAGCCAGGACTCTGCTCCGGGGAGATTTGGAAGCCGTATCTGTTAGGTATTTGAACCACAGGTTCCCTTGAAGGGATCCATCCCAGATTACATGAGCAGAAAAGCGTTCACCTGGACAGGCAAGCAGCATGGTAATGTCATCACCTCACACACAAGACTGCCATGAAGTCATCATGAGAAGTGAAATCTATTCCGCCTGCAGGATCAAATCAAGCAACCATTGTTTTGCTTTTTGTTGTAGTTGTGGTAGGGCTGTGGTTGGGGGAACACTTGGGGGTGTTATTACCAGGCAATCACTCCTGGTGGGGCTTGGAGGAGGGGCAGGGCATATGGGATGTGGGGGATGGATCCTGGCAGGTAACATGCCAGTGTACCTGTTTAAGACACTCTACTGACAAGTAGACTTTTACGTGACATATTTTAGGAAATTCCAAAGTAAATTTGGAATAAATTTAAAGTAAAACTCAATTTGGATTTCTTAGCCACACACTTCCAGGGAAGGTCATTCTGGTCTGTTTGCTTGGATGTAGCTTGGTTCATTTCCAGTTCCTCACTGATCAGATTTGTGTGTCCTCGGGCTTATGAAGTCTTCTACTTACTTTTCATCTTGCTCTCAGTGAACAAAGTATTTTAGAATTGGATTTCTGTCCACCAGTGGATTGAGAAGTCAACTTGCTCATAGTCCACATTAAAAAAATAAAATTAAGCTATCCGTATAGTTAAGGGTGTGTAACGTCTTGGTAAGATTTTTGTATCCACATATAATCAAAGACTATAAATGTGTACTGGTCACTGTATAAAATACATTTTACTATGAATTGCAATAAAAAATGTGAAAGTCACTGAATTAAAGAGACGAATTTATTGGTAAATAGATCAAATCAACACCCATTCCAGTATACCCTTCCCTCTGTATATTAGGCAAAAATATAAAAATTATCAAAGCAATACAGCCAGCTGGATTCCCCAATTAACAAACAAATGAAATACCAAAGGCTTATTTGAATATAGGGTGCTTAGAAATTCTCCCCAAGAAATTTTTATGAAGAGATCAGGTTCCACATTAGTTCCCCAAAGCCAATTCAAACACTGTAGCTAACATGTTCACGTTAAATACTCAAGTCTGAGGTTTCGTCTCATTTTGTCCTGGCTCAGTGCACACCGTGGCCACATTGCCAGCACCCCCCCCTCAGTGCTGTGGAACCCCCACCAATCACCAGGTGCTCCCCGATCTCCAAGGACTCGAAGACCAGAAGTCCTAAGAACTTAGGTAAACTGAGGTAGAAAATGGGGCTCTGCACAATAGCTTCTGTGGGCCCCCAAATCTGTCATTTCCCAACCCACCCCTTCCCCACATCCTGGCTCAAATGTGAGAAAAAACACTTGCTCACCTGCAATTAAAAAAAAATCTGTACCAATCTCTGGAGATTGCCTAGCCAAAAAAAAAAAAAACCTATAATTTAAAAATATGTATTTACTAAGTATCACTGGCTTTAACATTAAGAACTTGCTCTTGAAAAAAGCAAGAGCTGTTTTTAATCCCCTGACGCTTTCCTCATAAGCTGTTGAGCTATAAAAATTCTGAACACGTGTCTCCACCCCGTGGAAGACAGGGCAGAGGCTGGAGCTGCGGGGGCTCTGGGACCTCCGCACCCCTCGGGCGTTGGGAGGCCTCATGTCCTCTGCTCTGGGTTCGGGCTCTCCTGACTGGTTGACTGGTTTCATCACATCCTGAAGATTGTTCCGAGTTATCAGAGGGCAGAGATGGACGGGGAGCCCATTCTAGAGCAGCCAAGTGGCCCACAAACCCTGGGGGGCAACACAGCCACACTCCCTCCAGCGTCATTCACTTGGGTGAGACTCATTTCCACAGGATTCACCCCGGGAACACTTGTTCAGGTGCTCGGTTCCCAGGGGAAACCTCCGAGTGCCAGGTGGGCACCAGCTTTTTTGTGAGTGACGCGGCTCCCAGCCCAGCTCCCAGGGCCGCAGGAATGAGGCTTCGGGCAGGGCTCTTTGGCGCCTGAGCGGGAGGCGACCTGCCCCTCCTCATCAGCGCTGCAGTGTGTGGAACTGGTGGGCGCTTCAAGCAGGCACCGCGATTTCAAGCACATCTGGCCCTGGCTGCTGTCCAGAACCTGGACCATCACAGCTGCACGGTGCCCCTCCGGGCCGGCAGCTCAGAGCCAGCTCAGGGCCAAGGTTGTCTTCCCCTTTGGCTACTGTGTGTATCAAGACAATTTAAGGATTATAAGGAGGCAAAGTGTCCGAAATCACTTCAGCATATACTGATCAGGTTCTGAGAGACAACCTTTTATTACACTGGAAAAGCAACACTAGGCACTAGGTCTTGCAAAATACGGGCTGACCAACTCTCAACTTTAGGAAATTAAGAATGCGTAACCACATCTGTAAGGTTTTTAATGAACAAAAAAAGTTAAATACAAACTTTCATATGCAAAATAGATTATTGTATAACTGGCAACCTCAGAGACAAGTATCAAATTTTCTTCCACAAACTGCGGCGGGGGTGGTATGGGGGAGGTGAAAAGGCTAATGTATACAAAACTTAATTTAGGCTTTATATATCTATATATAGAAAACAAAAAAGGAACTTTGAGAAAAAAATAGCTTTAAATTGAACAGTATCTTTTGAAATAAACAGCTCAGGCCAACAGTCACAATTCTGAGCTTTACACTCATATCAGATCTGGGATGTCAAAAGAAGATTTAGGTTTTACAGTTACTTCAAATCCAGTTGCAAGAGTAGCCACGCATCACCTGATCCCCAGCCAGGAAGTCTCTTTCAAATGACCGCAACACTCCTCGGACCCTGCTCAACTGGCCAGAGCTCCTTGGTCACGATTCTGCGTCGGCAGGACACGGCGTGAAACATTCCAGAGAGGCAGTCAGGTCCGCCCCCACCGAACTGCTTCAAGCCTCCAAAAATGGGACTAGCTTCAAGTTGGCAGCTGCTACTCCAGCTTGAGTGGAGTTAAATGAACACTTCCTCCTTCCTCCCCCAGTCTGATGTCCCAGCTTGATCTTCTGCAGAGAGTGGCAGCTTGATTAACATTCTTTTTTTTCAGAAATAAATAGTTCAAACAAGATATTCAGAGTTAACAGTGAAAGAGCAGCAGAAAATGGCCACTGCCCATCATGTCTGCAGACGAGTGAGCAAATGAATACACGTGAACAAACACACGAGAAAAAAAAAAAGAAAAACAATACAATCACAGGACAAATCCTGCATTTCCCACATTCACAGGGAAAAAAAATCTAAAGAAAAAAAATCAGCGTTTGTTCTTGTGTGGGTTGAAGGGTCCAAGGCTCCGAGCAGGCACAGCCTTATGAACAGGGTTGCAAGCAGCCCACGCACGTCCAGTGCGGTCCAGTGCGAGGCCTTCATGCACTTGATAGCTCAGTACCTGGGAGAACAGAGGTGAGGCGGGGACTTCTTAACCCACAATGCATGAGGTATATGGAAACATCTGTCCGTGAAAAGAACTACCAGCAGCTCCGGGGACCAACGGGACATTCTCACAGCAACTGCTGGTGAAGGATTTCCCACACCATCTTCTTCCGGAAGAGAGGCATCTGGTGCTGCAAAGAATCCAGATGACACACACGTCACATGGGAGGTGTCACTGTGCAAGCAAGGGTGACGCGCCGCCCCCCGCCACGAGAGCCTTCTGCTATCCAACAAGCATCCAACAAGCTCGTGACAAAAATGTGCAACAAAAATGAAAAAATACATAAGGACTGGCACAACAGGGAACTTTTCAACTTATATGTGTTTTCGAAGCATACAAAAATGATCACATGCTGTTTGCCAAAGAGAAAAAATGAACTCTATTTAAATAAAGGAAAAATTTCACAAATTTCTCTTCTACCAATTAATTATTTTTAGGTGAAGACTTCTCTTCAAATCTCATGTCGAAAAACAAGTAACTTTGTTATTTAGAAGCATCAGAAAATGAGGACACAGTCATGGTCCTCCCTGTTGTTCATCGATTTTCTCAAGCAGGTCCAGTAACGTCTCTATCGTGAGACTTGTTATTGTGTGTGGCATATTGAATACGTCACGGGTAGCTTGCCAGGCTTTGCGTGCGGGCGAGATACTCTCGGTATCTTGCCGGGCTCTCCAAGAGGGGTGGAGGAATCCAATCCAGCTCGGCCGGGTGGCTGCACTGCACACAAGGCAAACGCCCTACCGCTGTGCTATCGCTCCAGCCCCAGAAAATGAGATGTTTTGCTTATTAGTATGTTGCTCTGCTTGGGCTGATATGAATTTTTTTTCTTTTTTTTGGGTCACACCCAGAGATGCTCAGGGATTATTCCTGGCTCTGCACTCAGGAATCACTCCTGGCGATGCTTGGGCAACCATATGGGATGGTAGGAATCGAATCCAGGTTGGCCATGTGCAAGGCAAACACCCTACCCACTGTGCTATTGCTCCAGGCCGATATTAAATTCTTAAAGCAACAACATTCAGGACAAATCTCCAATTATCTGTAAGTCAACTAGTCCTCCTCTGGATAGAATCAGTAAATCCCTTTGTGGTTAACTCCTAGTGTCTCATAACTAGTTGGTTAAATCGCTCAATTATCGATTTCCCCACATGCTGGGAGCCTAAAAATTCTGGATATAAATTTGTAAACTATTTAGGGCTGGAGCAATAGCACAGAATGTAGGTTCACTTACCTTGTACGCAACTATCTCAGGGTCAATCCCCAGCATCCCATATGGTTTCCTGAGCACCGTCAGGAGTAACCCCTGAGCATCGCCAGATGTAGTGACCCCCCCTTCCCCAAAGAGCCCCCTACCTCCCCTCCCCCCCAAATTTGTGAACTATTTTAAATCAGTTCAAAATGTAGGTTTGGGGAAAAAAAGCCACAAGTCACACCTCTACCCCCACCAACTCTGCATATTTTTGGGGAACCCACACCCAGTGGGGTGCTCAGGCCTTACTCCTGGCTCTATACTCAGGGATCATTTCTGGAGGGGTTCAGAACACCATTTGTGCTGCCAGAGACTGAAACCAGGTTAGCTGTATGCAAGACAAGCCTTACCCAATGTACTATCACTTCCTCCCCTGCAAATTCACTGTTAATGAAGCTGGATTTTAAATAAGTACCTTCAGGCTAGAATGTTAGTTTGGGGTGGTGGGGTGTTTGGGTCACAACCAGAAATGCTCAGGGGTTACTCCAGGCTCTGCACTCAGGAATGACTCCTGGAGGTGTTGGAGGACCATAAGGGGTGGAACCTGGGTCAACTGTGTGCAAGGCAAAATGTCCTACCCACTGTATTATCTCCCCAGTCCTACTAAGTATATTAATTGAACACGGTGACCAAGCTACTTAAGCTTGCTCAAAAGCTTAGAATGGAATTATCAGAACTAGTTTCCAGTTAAGAACAGTCTCTTAGGGCTGGAGTGATAGAACTGCCTTGCATGTGGTCAACCCGGATTTAATCCTGGAACCCAGTACCACCCCAGAGTCCACCAGGAGTGATTCTCAAGCACAGAGACAGGAGTAAGCCTTGAGCATGTCTAACAATGCTCAAAACAGAAGCAAAAAACCAATAGTTTGGAAGAAAACACCTGTCCAAATGAGACTTTAAGGGGCTGGAGAGATAGCACAGCGGGTAGGACGTTTGCCTTGCACACGGCCAACCCAGGTTCAATTCCCAGCATCCCATATGGTCCCCTAAGCATCGCCAGGAGTAACCCCTGTGCATCGCCGGGTGTGACCCATGAAAGCAAAAAAAAAAAAAAGAACAAATGAGACTTTAAGAAAAAAAGTCTTGCAATTGTAAAAAGGTTGAAAATTATTACAAATTCTCAAAAGCTCCCCACATACTTGATTTTCCATTCAAATGCAGAGCTAAGGAAAAATAAAACTAAGCAAACAGAAGGGAAAAGCAGCATTCATAGTGACAGCTCGGACCTTCCATTTGCACGAGGCCTGGTTTCGTCACTCTCTGACAGGCCTCCTTTTTGGATCAAAGTTCATGAACCAGGAGGCTCGGGAGATAGTACAGGGAGTAAAGGGTGGTAAAGTGCTTGCTTGCATGCAGCTAGCCCCAGTCCGATTGCTCCTAAAACTACCAAGAGAGATCCCTGAACAGAGGGGTAGGAGTAAGCCCAGAGAACAGCGCTGTGTGCGTGACATGGTCCTAAAACACAACTCAAACAAACAAAGTATCTCATCCACTACCGAAGACGAGCATAAACATTAAGAACAGATGCAAGGAGGAAAGCTGTGGCGACGATTTCAGTAGCGACCATAGCGGCACAGCTACTGTTGTTAGCTGTGGGGACGGGATTTTCCACTCACCTGAGTGAATGTGATCGGTTTGTCCCTAGCGATATAATCTGCATATTTACAAGTAAACATTCCACAGTCACTCCCATTCAACTGTTGAGGAATCTCCTAAAATTACCAGAAAAAGGAGGAGGTAAGGGATATAATTTCATTAATAAAAACTGTGGATTAAAGGTAGAAAGTTAGATCTGGTATCACAAAGACACATACATCAACACAAGAATCCTGACGATGTCAAGGAGGGGGCCCCACAGAGCAGGTTTTCTTCTCAGCTCCCACCCAAAGAAGCCAAATGGAAAGGTGGGAGAGCAGCATCAGTCTCGTACTGGCCTGGCCCGAATACTGAGGCTAACTGCAAGTTCCACTCATCCCCATCGACTGAGTTTCCAGGTGAGAAAGACCCTGCTGTCCTGGAAGAAAAGGTTTTTTCCTTCCTTTTCATAATGACCTAGCAGCGTCCTTTTCCCTCCAGGAAAGCTTTTCCTTTCTCTACCTGCTAGATGGGATACTGGATGGGTCTCATAAATCATTTGAGAGCCAACTCAGGTTCTATTTTCATCCAGATGAATTTTTTTTTAATACCAGGCTCAGGAATTTCAGCCACGTCATTTTGGAAGCACTTTGCCAGTGGTTTAGAGCTAGAGTGGCTGAATTGGAAATGTACCCCGAGTGACTTCTCCCAGCCCTCTGACTTGAACTGACTGGAGACTGTTTTTCCAGTCTTTGGAAGCGCATGTAGCACAGTCACATCAATGAGTCAACCAGAAGATAAAGGCTATTCTGGGTAAAAGGATTTCCAGAGATTTACAAAGAACACAGTCCTACGGTCGATGCTTCAGGAGAAGCGAAGTTCAGTCGCAGTGCGTTATAGCGCATCCACTGTGGGGAACCCACAGGTCTCTGCACCTCACATTCAGCACTCACATGTGGCTTCATGCTGTAGTGTGTCCACTCCAGAAGATTCAAATCTATGTTTCTTTTGGTCTTACTTTCATCCTGTAAATACTGACTGAAAAAAACAACAAAGAAGGAATATTCCAATGAATTTCCACAAGGGCAGCCATTATGACGTAATGTTTTTGCTTTTAGGGTTTTAAAAATTATCACTGTTATTCTTCAGGTCACAGAGTAAAAGTGAAGAACGTTCAAGTTTACGGTACTGATGCACAACGTTCTGCAGCCCCAGTGCCCATAACCCTCCACCACCAACCGTCCCTATGTTACCTCTGGTCTGATTGTCATTTAGCTCCCTACTTCCACCCACCACTGGAGACAGGCAGTATCAAACCTGGGGATATCCACACAGAAACAGATATGCCACTTACAAGTTTACCTTCTCTTGCTTTAAAAAAAAAAGAGAGAAAATTGGTTTGACTTCTGAATGCAGTACTTTTTTGTTTATAAAATTAGTTTACTTTAAAAAGTGTAGAACTTTCTGACATTATCCCCCCAAAAGTATGCAGAGACCAATGAATAATCATGCCATTACTAATGTGATATTTTATTCTTTTCTTCCTTCTATCCTTAAATACATGATTGAAAAACAAATATTCTATTTAAAAAAATATATCACACTCGCTTCTTCACAAAAATAGCACTACAGAGACAACTTCCCCGGACTTCATGTATATAAAAAGTTACTGTCAGAGATCTAAGGCAGACTTGTGTTTTGTTTTGTTCTTCTTTGGGGGCCACACCAGCTGTTCTCAGGGCAAATTCCTGGCTCTGCACTCAGGAATCACTTGGGGGCCAGAGGGAGTGCTGGGAATCGAACCCAGTAAGAAACCAGGAAAGACCAAAGGAAACAGCCAGGCCCAAGTGCCGCATAGCACCTCCATCCCGCCCTGCCAGGGTGTGGCTCGCTCAATTTCCCAGGGCCCCACATGTGCTGCAAGTACCCCTGGCAACGCCACTGTCTGAGATTCCTGGTGCCACCGGCACTTGCTGGTCCCGCCACATCTCAGGTAGCGCCACAAAGAAGGCAGGCAGCCCTGGAGAGCACTGCGGTGGGAAAGGCCTGAGCACGCCACAGCCATGCGGTTGGCACCTGGCAGGCATGCATGCGAGGAGCGCAGCAGCCCTGGCCACGACTGTGAGGAGCACACCCCCCAGAAGTGGGCGAGCCCCGGCCAGCATGTGACTGGCGCCGCCAGGGAAGGAGGACCAGTCCTGGTGAGCACTAGGCCCAGTGAGCATCAGAGCCAGTGTGCGCGTGAGCCCTTGTCTTCAACAGTAGCAGCATCCCAAAGAAGGGGAGGGCAGGCAGGGAGGTGATTTAAAATTTTTAATAAAGCAACTTTTTTTTTTTAAGAAAGGCAAACAACCGCTTTCTTAAGAGTTTGGTGTATCCTGACAATATACATTTTTTTCTATTTCTCTAGTCATTATTCATTTAAAATATACACCCAAGGAGTTGAAAGACTCTTTCCACTGAGCCAACACTGCCTGCTGTGCCTCACTTGTTTGGAACTGTGAGTTTCAGGAGTACTGCACCCCCAGGGCAACACCTAGTGGCCCTAGGAGGTCATGCAGTGTTGGGGAGCAAAGCCATGGCTGAGGTCTGCGACACTCAGCTCTGTCCTCTGAGCTACCTCCCGGGCAGCTCACCCAGACAACAGCAAGAAAGAGAGAAATTAAACTAATGTTAGTACCTCTCCTCCAAGTCATTTACTACAAGTTCCTCATGGAAGCATTTTTTTCCTAAAATTATCCAAGTATACTTGTAAAATTAGAAACAAAACCTGCATTTGCTTCCAGTGAAGGCTGGAAAAACATGGTGTTAATGATTGGCTACCTCACCACGAAATTCACGCCATCACTTTACATATAAGTGACTTGCTTTAACAGAAGGCTTCTAACATTTATTTACTATTTAAAGTACTTGCCTACAAACCATACACTTCAGCTTTAATTTCCCTCTGGGTTCTTAACAATGAACTGGATTATTCAAGGAATAGCAAAGAGACAGAGTGGGCTGAAGAATTTAGAAGTACAGAGGATGGAGAGTTAGTCCAGGAGCTAAGGCGCTTGCCTTGCATGCAGCTAAGATGGCCACGGCCCTGCTTCAAATCCCCAGTGGGGCCCCTGAGCACAGCAAGGAGTAGCCCCTGAACACACCAGAGGTGGCCCGAAAACCCAAAAACGAAACGAAAGAAAAAGAATTTAGAAGAACAGGAGCTGCAGCTCAGAGGTGGGAGCACGAGCAGCTTATGTGAGGCCCTGGCTTCAATCTCCAGCATGTGGGAGGGAGCGAGCGCGCGCACGCACACGCACACGCACACACACAGAGTAGCCCCCACTGCAGCAGAATTTGTGAGCCTCTCCCAAAAAGGCTGCATATGTAAACAGAGAGAAAAAGAAGGTACATATGTTCAGTACTGGAAGGAATTTTTACGATGTAAAAAAATGTGAAAAAGTATGTGACTGAGTAATTAGAGAATTCAGTTGAGCAGTGAGTAAAATACACTTTCTACTTCATGGAATAAAAACGCTTAATGTCTTTGTTAGTGCGGTTTTAAAGCAGGGTTTCTCTCCCTTCTGGCTTTACTTCCCATGCCCCGCCCCCACCCCATTTATACAATTTTCACTAGAATATAACGCCTGCTGAGAAACACTAGCATAAAGGATCAAGTAGTTGAGTGGCTATACAGCTACAAATACTTAATGTATCTTCCAAAACTGGTTTTTAAATTTCTTTTAACTATTAATGTCTTTTTCTAATGTAGGAGTACTACTATTTATTCAGCCACTGATTAGCTGAATTGGGCATGAATTCCACAATAACTATTGTCTTCAAGCTCTCTAATCACTTGATGCTATATATGCATTTATTCCTTATGTGTTTGTAAAATCACGTGGTAGTTGCTGCCTCAAGGATCTGAGATGGTTGGGGCTGGAGTGACAGCACAGCCAGTAGGGCATTTGCCTTGCACACAGCCGACCTGGATTCGATTCCCAGTATCCAATATGGTCCCCTGAGCACTGCCAGAAGTAACTCCTGAGTGCAGAGCCAGGAGTAACCCCTGTGCATCGCTGGGTGTGACCCAAAAAGCAAAAAATAATTTAAAAAAATTTGAGAAGCTCTTCTCTATCAGGTAGGGTTCACACTTCTCTGGTTTTCTCTAAGAAACTGGAAACTAAGGACACTGCACTATACACTGGATGAAGGTGCTGTATATGGTTGACTTGTAACACTACTGTAGAAGTATTACAAGTATGTACTACATTTAATAAACGCAGTCAATACTAAATACAGACATAGTACATTATTTGTTGCAGTAAGTCAGACAAACTCTCTGAACTGCAATAGTTTCACCAATTAGTCTGTAATGAAAACCAATATTGACTTTAAAAGTTCATGAAAATCCTGATGATCTTCGAAACCACATGAAATGTTAAAGTGGGAATACTGTTCATGTGGTTAAAACAGAGTAACCCTCACAAGTGTACAAGGAAAGTGTAAGTCACTCTCTCCTGAAAGGGCATAAGGTAATCAAACATTTGTATTTACTAAATAACTAGTACTGGTCTTCAAACCATGAAAACATAACTCTCCTATTGGTACGCAGATCAACAGGAATAACTCTTCCAAGTCCTAAGGTGTAGTGTGACCAAAGATTCCACAGTGCTACTTGCAAAGCCTTATTTGGATCAGAGGCCTTCATCTTTTTTCCGCAGATGGTTGAAAACCACTTATTTCGGGGTCAGAGAGATAGTACAAAAGGCAGAGAGTACACTTGCCTTGCACATACAAGACTGACCTGGTTTAATTCCCAGCATCCCATATGATCCCCTGAGCCCTCCAGGAATGATTCCCCAGTGCAGAGCAAGGAGTGACTGAGCACCACCGGTTATGGCCAGAAAAACAGAAACAAAACCCCACTTAGACTGTGTACTAATGAAACTGATTGATCTGGGGGAGGGGGAGGAGAGGTACAGAAGTTCACAGAAGTGAAGCCCAAACCTGGGTGGAAAAAACGTGCAACCACTGGTCTTTGTGAGCATCAACTTCATATAGACACACCCTCAATCACTGAGCTACATCTCTGGTGCCCAAACCCAAGAGATTTGTGGGTAGCGTGTGCAGAAAGACAGATGAGAGGACAGAGACATGTGTACTGCCCAGCATCTCATGCCCAACCCCCAACACTGATAGTTATAGCTCTGGAGGCCCTGAGCCATGGGCCTGAGCATCACTGAATGACTGGACTGCACCCGGTTGGCCAAGTCATCAGGAGTGGCCCCCAGATTTCCTGAGTCCTACACCTCAGCAGGCACCCCTACAATTTTGTTTTTAAAAGCTGATTTTAATGTCCTAGCTCATGTGTATAAGGAATCAAGTATTACCCTGTCTCTAACAGTAACCAAGCCTATGATATTCAAGGCTGCAGGTAACAAAGACCTACAATGGAATGGTATCACTAGGAATATCCTGCCATAATCCCAAATAACTTAAGACTATTTTCCCAAATTTGTATGATTCTTTTTTCCCCCTGCTAACTGCTGGAACATTTTAACAATTATAAAATATTGCAGGGAATAATGTAAGAGAAATAAGACTCCCCTATTAAAATTCTTTATAACATTCAGAGCAATTATTAACCCCAAAAGAAACAAATTTAAATCACAAGATTCTAGAGTATTTTACAGTGTAATACATGACAAATTTGTCTTTTAATTATACTAAAACCTTCTCAGTTAAGATCATACATTAGGTTGTTTTTGTTTAGGTTAAAAAAGGCATTCAAGTAAAGTCCTGATAAGATACGCAGTTCAATATACCTTATCCTACCATCTAACCATCTGAGTCTCCTAGGGTTAAAAAGTAGTAGCACCACCTAAAACACAATGAGGCAACAGTAATGTTTTCAGCCTTTACTTACAGAAGAATCTCACAGATCCTGTGGCCCTTTTGTCCCATTGAATCCAGATACTTAAGACACTTTTTCCTTAGGTCTATGACCTATAATGAAAAAAGTAACAGAGAAATGAGAAACTTATTTCTAAAAACAACCTTTAGAGGACATATTAGCAGAAAATAACATATTAAGATATTTCCAAGATATATTTTTAATTTTGTATCATGCATGAGTTTCAAAATAGTATCCACCAGCTCTACCTGCTGTACTATCACTCCAGCCCCACAATTTTTTTATTTTTAAGGCAAATATTAATAAAATTTAATTATTGAAGAAAAATACTTTGAGTATGCCATTCTGTTTTTTTTCTTCTGTAAAATAAGTATCTCTTCTACATCAGTTGTTTTCATAGGCATATTATCATGCTATATTGGGGCTTAGATCTCCAAGCCTGCTCAGATGGGAACTGGGCCTCCTTCACCCAGATCCCCCATCTTCCTGTAGCTAGACAGTTACATCCCCCAACTGCCGTATAACCCCATCAATGGTCAAGATCCAGAGAGTATTAAAAACAAGCTCTTGGAAGCGCGCGGCTGCATTTGCAGCCACACAACCTCTTATTGCCTAGTTCTCGCTCTCAGAGAACCCTGCAGGCTACCCAGAGTATCTTGCCCGTACATATGCCTAACTGGGAACACCTGTAAAGGTGATTAGAGGCTGCCCCAAAGGCCTCCATCCCTCACAGAGAGCCTGGCAAGCTACCGAGAGTATCCCCTCCACACAGCAGAGCCTGGCAAGCTATCCGTGGTGTACTCGATATGCCAAAACCAGTAACAATGACAGCCCTCATTCTCCTGACCCTGAAAGAGCCCCCAATATGCCATCAGGCTACACTAGCACATGACAGGGATGAATGGAGACGTTACTGGTCCCTGCTTGAGGAAATCGATGAACAACAGTGTGATAGTGATACTTTTATTATCAAAAAAAATAATAAAGCCTAGAAATTTATTTACCAAAACATTAGTGGTTCTTTCAGACTGATGGAACTGTTTTGTTTTCCTTATACAACTACGTATTTGAGGCACAGGTGGCATTTTTTAGAGCTTTACTTCTGGCTCTAAACTCAAGAGATCATTCCTGCCTGGTGAGCTCTGGGAACCATATGAGATGCCACAGATTGAACCCAGGTTGGCCACACACCAGCTGACACCCTACCTGCTATATTATGTCTCCAGTCCAATATACATCTACATTTTTACAATAAACTTGTACTATTATATAAATGAAATAAAAATACAAATAAATTGGATGCCTCAACTTTCTGTTAGAAGAGCTTTGGGGCTAGAGATCCAACAGGCAGGGTACTTGTCTTGCATGCAGCTGATCTAGAATCCCATATGGCCCTCCTGAGCACTGCCAAGAGTAATCACTGAGCACAGAACCAGACGTAACCTCTGAGCACTGCCAGGAGTGGTCCCAAAATAAAAAAAAAAAAAAAGAGCTTCTCGGCTCTAGGAACTGTATTCTAGCTTTTTAAGAGGAGCTACTCTGTAGACTATGTCTTTAACATATACCTTTCACTAGACAAAAATGGTAGCCCTTGTGTTACCACCAGCAGATCACACCTGAATATGGCTTAATTAACACAAATTATGGCACCAGCATCAATGTTTCTAAAAAAATGGTTACTATCCAAATTCCAATGAATGATCTTTGTCAACTTACCACTAGGCTCCAATGTACCTTCCGATGAATAGGCACCAAAATAAGCTCCTGTTCAAAGAGATTGACCCCTTTGGTCCATCTTTTTACTGCTTGGTAACCACCAGACTTTAATTTGGGGTAGAAGAAAGTACTGAATGCATGAAGTGCTGGGTAATCTTGTTTTTTGTTTCTTTCCACTAGAAGATTCATATAAAAATTGATGACCTGTAATACCACAAGAATAGATATCAGAGCATGGCAAGTACATAACTGAAAATAAATTTCTACCTAACTGAACTAGGATGAATCAGATGTAGTAAGCTTACTTAGGGAAGTGAAGATACTAGTAAAGGGAATAAAAGAACTGTCTACAGAGCCAGCGAGTACAGCAGGCTAAGATGCCAGGGTTTAATCCTGGCATTAAATGGGCCCCAAGCTATCACGGAGCGAGCCCTGAGCACAGTCAGGGCCCAAACAAACGAAACCCCAAAACAAAGCCAAAAAATAAATTGTCTCTGGCAGAAAATGGGAAATAAAACAATGACCAGTGTCAAACTGCAGAGATAATTCAGAGATAGGGGCTGGCTTGAATCCCTGGCGCCACATACATCCCCTGAGCACCACCAGGGTTCACCTCTGGGTAGTGAGGCAGGAAGAAATCCTATCACTGCCGAGTGGGGCCTCAACACCCACCTCCCGAAAGACCCGTGCAAATAGGTGAGGACGAAGTTGTAGTTCTAAAGCCTGAATAAGAAAGTCAAGAAGAATTCAAGAAGAGTCTACAACAACGAAAAGGTATATGGAACTGGATTGCAAAAAGTTATGTACATTCACAGGAAATAAAATCTTAAGTTTTATTTGTGTAATTATAAACCATACCTCTAAAATATTAGAGGGCAATGTACCAAAACATAAATATTTTCTGGTTATGAGGAAAAAAGCAGAAGAACTTCTGGAGGAAGGGGGGTCGTTCGCAAAGATGCTCAGCACCTAGGTGGCAGGGGCTGAACCCAGGGGCCTGTGTGCAGAGCCCATGCTCCAGCAGCGTTTCAGTCATCTTCCTAAACCCTAAACGGTGGCACTTTCCAGAGGCAGCATCTTCCCTTCACTGGTCCTATATTTTCTGGTTCACTCCTAAAAACGTTTTACAGGGCTAGGGAGGAGTTAGCCTCCAAGGCTGACCTAACACACACGCTCCACACAGAGGAAGGGCAGGCTCGATCCGAGGACACCGTGGTCCCCAAGGGCCAGGAGCTACTCTGAGCACTGCCACGTGTGGTCTCAAAACAAAAATAAGAAATTAAGAGCTAGTTTTAGTTCTTATGTTAATATAAGATTAAACAAAACACAACAATAAGAAAGGGGCTGGAGACAGACTGCAGCAGGGAGGGCATTTTCCTTGAAAATGGCTGACGGGGGGTTGTTTCTCCTCTATCCCTGAATGCTCCCCCTCCCCCTACATCCCCAAATGTGTGTCGTTCCCCCCCCCCCCACACCGGAATAATTCCTGAGTGCAGGGCCAGGAGTAATCCCTGAGCACTGCAGGGTGTGGCCACTCCCCCCAAAAAATTGCCCCCCCCCAAAACAAACCAAAAGACAAACAAAAATGGACAAATGACCTGCATTTTATCACTCATTGAAATAAAAGACATTTATAGTCATCAGTATGTCCCTTTACTATTGAAAATTTAAGTGACTCCTATAAAAATTTGTCTATTAAAATTAAGTATGACTTCAGCTGTGTCCAGGGTTTAAAAAAAAAAAAGTCACAAAAGGCTCTTCAATGAAGTGGCACATGAATCTAAGTACAGGTGTGTTTGTGTGTTTGTGTGGGGGGGGGGGGTTGAGGAAGCGTCATTACTAACTGAAGCCACTAAATAATCAAACAGTAAATAATAAACCACCTTTTAAATAAGTAAAAGCCACCTTTTAAGAGTTTAACATTTTTTTCTCAACAAAACTGAAAGCTGTGGACTCAGTGTAAGGGTTAGGCCTGTTCTGCAGTCACCCCATTTGGATCCCCAGCACTCCATGGTCCCCAAGCTCTAAAGGGAAACCACTCCTGACACACAATGCAAGCCAAACAAAAAACTAAGAGCTGCTTTTACCAGCCCCTCATCATTGGGTAGAAAATATTTTGATTACGGATTACAAATGGCTAAGCATGATAGTCAAAGGCAGGAAAAAGCCCACTTACTTCATCATTGAGCCAGTGATAGTTCTTCAAGGTCTGGATATCTCCTCGAGTGATTCGCAATTTGAAAGCACTACTTAGGATCTCATCCTGGGGACCGTGGCCTAGGGCATTACTGATTTCCTTTTCCATGTCCTGGATCAAAATTCAGAGGACTCACTTAATTACAGAGCCAGGAAATACTTAAAAGTCTAAGACTGATAAAAACTTCATTGCTGTATGCTGTATTGCCTGACCCCGGGGAGGGGGAAGGGGGAATGTGCTCCTCTTAATTAACTCAAAGTATGAGACTTAACTAAAGTAAGGAAAGATTTAAACTGAGACTTTGTAAGTCTTCCTCAGGGTCAGAGTGATATTACAGCGCGTAGTTGTCTTGCATGCAGCTGACATCCCCCTAGCCCCCCGCAGTTTACTGTGTCTCACCCAGCACTACTCGGGTTATTCCTGGCTCTGTACTCAGGAATTACTCCTAGTAGTGCTTGGGGGACAATATGGAATGCAGTGATTCGAATGCAAGGCAAATGCCCTACCCACTGTACTCTCTATCAGGCCCCTGAGCCATGTTCTACCCCCATATCCCATACGGGTCCCCTAAGCACCACCAGAATTAATTTCTGAGTACTGCTGGGTGTGACCCATATGCAAAAAAAAAAAAAAAAAAGCTTCTCATGGTCATAAAAGCACTTGTTCAACCATTAGATTCTGAGGGCTTGAGCACTAGCATAGTGGGTAGAGTTGGTCTCACATGATGCCAACCAAGGTTCAATCTTTGGCATCACTTATGGTCCCCCAACCCCCGTAAGTGAGCCCTAAATGCCCAGTCAGGAGTAAATCCTGGATATTGCTGTGACTAAAACACAAACAATTCTGAAACACTAATTTATAACGATTTCACTACCACATGTTACAAGCCAAACAAATACCAGCTTCATCCTTGCTAGTAGAGAAAGAACTATTTTATAAGAGTAGTCAAAATCTTTTCAAAATTACATGATTTTGAGAGCTGGAGCAATAGTACAGTGGGTAGAGCATTTGCCTTGCATGTGGCTGACCCAGGATTTAATTCCCAGAATCCCATATGGTCCATGGAGACCACCAGGAATAAGCTCTGAGCACTGCTGAGTGTGGATGCCCTTCCCCCAAAATTATATAATTACAAAGAATTTAGGTTACATGCTCAAAATCATTTATTAAAAAGCAACGCCAATACTTGAAACCCAGGATGGACTATTACTCCTTTTACAGTAGTCAAAAAAATTTTCCTCTTCTTTCCTTATTTATCTCCTGAACTTTTACTTAAAGATACCAAAGGGCCAGAGAGGAGAGTATAGCAGGTAAGACCATACATGAGACCAACCAGATCTGATTCTCCAGCACCTTATGGGCCCCCAGTGACTGCCAGGAGTAATTCATGAGGGAAAAAGTCAGAACAGAACCCTGGGTGTGGACCAAAAAATTAAAAAAAAAAAAAAAGTAATAAAATCAGAATACCTAAATGACCACCCTATTACATTTGACAAAGAGAAACACTGGAAAATGTTTGTCACTTTGACAAAGAGCAGACACTGGAAAACGAGGCAGCAGTTTAATAACCGAGCCTGCACCAAATGACTTCATCATGAATCCAAAAAAATGTATAGACTAAAGCTAAAAAAAATTTTCACTTAAGAATTTTCTTACCCCCTCCCCCAATACACAAAGTTTATTCTTTTGTAAAGCTCTCTCTCTGTACACCTCCATGCCTAACGTGAAGCAAATACTAGAATATTCGTGGATAGCACTATCACTTCCTAAAGTAATAAATGGAGAAAGTGTCAAGATGTGGACTCCCCTTTAAAATGGAGTGCAGAACCAGAAGTAAACTCTGAGCACAGCCGGGTATGACCCAAAAAGCAAAATCAATCAATCATTTATTTTTCTCACGGGGGTCACGGTCCTCCCGTTGTTCATCGATTTGTTTGAACAGGCCCAGTAACCATTTATTTAAAAAAAAAGAAGAAAAGAAAAAGAAAAGAAACATGATGATTCTGCCAATTCATACCTGCTGAACATTGATCTGATCCCTTAGGTCACCTTCATAAATTACTAATCAAAGTAACCTGGACCTGATTTTCTTTATATATTCATCTCTCATCTGGAGAAGCGCCTCATAACAAAGCATTTATTCAAGTCTTGAATAACTCAGGTTATCTGAAAAGCAGGCCTCAGATTTTGATCAACAAAAAAAATAATACCTCTGTAAGATCAAGAAGATCATCTGTCCTTTTATCCCTTTCTTTGCCTGAGCAAAGTTTTTCTTTTGTCTCAAGTATTGATATTTTCCTCCTGAGTAATCCATTGCTTCCACTGCCCAGGCGAAGTCGGGCTGAAACTTCTTCAGATAAGTCAGGTTCTAGCTGGTGTCCCCTCCTCTGATCAAAAAGATTCTAAACTCAATATTAACATGTTTCATGTTTGTACATATAAATACATCATTACACATGAAATATAAAACAATGCTGATCTCCTGAAAAAGTAGATTTAGCATACCTGTGTCTACAAAAGAGCAGAAAAAAGTGTTCCAGGTGAAGACTTACGGAACACATTCATTATGAACCATGAAATAGAATACTCTTGATTTTCCCTAGAGCTAGCAAGATAATTATTAAAAATAACGTAAGTAAGGGCTGGGGACGTGCCACAGCAATGTCTGGTGTGCCCTCCCCCCCACCCCCAAATTTGTAAGAATCCCAAAAATGTCCGAAAGAAGTCTGACGACAGAGATGAGGGTTAGGATAAAGGCAACTTGGTCTCTTTTATAATGAGCTATTACAAAGGGATGAGAAGAGAGAGGTAACATAGAGGTAAAGGTGCTTGCCTTGAATGATCCAACCCTAGCTGGAATCCTGGGTACCACCACATTATGGTCACCCGGGCACTGCCAGGGGTCACTCCTGAGCAGAGCCAGACTAAGTCCACAAGCACCACTGGTGTGGTCCCAAAACCAACCCCCCACTCTCACCCCCTCCCCAAATCCCCACAAAGTTATGGATAAAAATTCAACAACTCAGAAAGGAAGCTAAAGTTGCATTACAATCAGTGTGAGTTTTCAAAGGGAAACAGTGAAGATTAGAGAGTTCAGTAATATATATCTTATTTTTCAAGAGTACCCAATTTTATTATGTCAGGCAGAAGAGTAAAAAAAAAAAACTTCACTGATGCTTCTACTTACACTCTCATTTTCTAGTCTGATTCCAACTGTCTTCTCTGAATCAGAAATTTTCCCCTTTGAACACCTAAGGGAAAAAGCTGAGTGATTACAGATGGGATGATTTTTAATGTGGCACATATCAACAAGTTATAGACCTAAAATTTAGTATTTATACGGGGCTGGAGCGATAGCACAGCGGGTAGGGCATTTGCCTTGCACGCAGCCAACCCGGTTCGATTCCCAGCATCCCATATGGTCCCCTGAGCATGGCCAGGAGTAATTCCTGAGTGCAGAGCTGAGAGGAACCCCTGTGCATCACCAGGTGTGACCCAAAAAGAAAAAAAAAAGATTAATATTTATAAACAAGAAAATTGCCTTCAGATGTTAAGTTTTCTAAACTCTAGGTTTTTAAACCTTTTTAAACCACAGACTGTGACTTCATTTGGGATTATGTAACTGCACAAAAAAAATCTAGCAACAGTAAAAAGCTTCAATTCAAAATCAAACGCATAATGAAAGGTGGGGTGTTTCTGGCAATATGCCCCTACACTGCATTCCTCAGGCTGCATTTCTCTCAAATGGGAGTCACAGGTGGAAACAGGTTACAAGTTCTATCAAAATAAAAAAACAGCCAAAAAAAAAGGTTGGGTGCCACACCCGGTACTGCTCAGGGCTTACTCCAGGCTGTGCTGCTCTCAGGATTCACTCCTGGTGGAGCTCAGGGGACCACACAGTGTGCTGGGACTCAAGCCCAGGTTGGCCACATGCAAGGCCTACCCAGCTGTCCCGGCCCCAAATCAGCAAAATTTTGACACAATGAGAGTAAATATTTTGGGCTCCACAGGACTTCAGGGTTTTTCAGTTTTGATTTTGGGCCATACCTGACAGTGCTCAGAGGTTAACCACTCATGAATTATTCCTGGTGGGACTGGGGGTGTCATACGGGGTATCAGGGATTGAATCTGGGTCAGCTGCATGCAAGGCAAGCACCCTACCCACTGTTCTCTCTCTTCAAGCCCCAGGGTCTTTGATTTTTTGTCCCAACTTTTGAATTTCTTTTAGTTTAAAAGCAGCTATAGACAATAAGCAAATAAAAAAACATAGTTGTGTGCCAATGAAACTGTACTTGCAGAAAGAAGTTCATGGGCTATAGTTTACCAAGCTCTACCATAAGTAAGTTTTCACCCAAAATCTGAAGGCACACAAACTGCTGATATTCTAGAGATGCTGATCACTAGAGATGCCTCTCATATTTGCATCCCTATCGAAGAAGCACCTGCATCTCCCAAGTCAAAGTTTGGACTTTTGAAAAAAGAATTCTCTCACCATCTAGGGCAGCCTGCTAACCAGAGCTATCAATGCTGATCAGCTGCCAGAGTCAAGGAAAACTCCTAATTCCTCAGACACACTGGTATATATATATCTTATAAGATTAAAATAAACAAATCAAGAGAAAAACGTAAGACCTGAAAGAAGGCACCAACAGCAACATAATAGGAGTCTCCTTTTACTCTGCTGGATAGATCAACTAGGCAAAACACTCAACAAGGAAACACTGGCCTTCAAGGAAGAAATGGAAGAGATGAGCCTAGCAGACATACATAGGGCCCTTCATCCCAAAAAGTTGAGGGCACATTCTTCTCCAGTGCACACAGGACATTCTCCGAGACAGACCACATGCTGGGTTACAAAACATATCTCCATAAAATCAAGAAGACAGAAACTGTATCAACTATCCTCTCAGACCATGATGCTTTGAAAACTGAAATCAATCACAAACAGAAAGGAAGGAAAAAACTCAAAACACTTGGAAATGAAACAAAAAATAAACTCAACAGGATTTTCTGAATTAAAAAAAAAGACCATTAATTTACAGAATCTCTGGGGGGAAAAAAAACAAAAACATAGTAAAGGAGCAACATGTGGCCAAATGCAACATATATAGAATGTTTACAGAACTGTGCTTATCTGTGGAGGAGAGGAGAGAGGGGAAAGGTTCTGGAATATGGATGGAGGGAAGTGGGCATCTGGTGGTGGGTGTGGTGTGGGAATGACGTGTGTATAAAACTAGTCTTAATGGTTCTGTAAATCACAGTACCTCAACTAAAATGGGAAAGAAAAAAAGGCAAAATGAACAGAACCAAGTACCTCTTTTCACTTCTCACTGAACAGAGAGGTCCCCTTGTTTCAACAACTCTATCTGCAAAGATGATAAAGAAATAGTTTTATTAATCATATAACTAGAACTTCAATTAACAGTTTCCACCTTACAGTTATCAAGACATTCACTTAGAGAGATGCTAAATAAATTCCAAAGATATTCGCTTCTACGCAAATACAGCTGCTTAAAAATGTGGACCAGGGTATAGCTCAACATAAACCGCATGCTACACATGTATGGAGGCCTGGGTTCAATCCATAACACTCCCCACAAAATTACTTTAAGAAGAATGGATAGGTGTATTCCACACTAGAAATCACCCACATCCCAACCTGGGATGTATAATTTCCTTCTTTTACTTCATGAGACTCTCTCCTCTCTCTGGAGAAGCCCATGTTCTCTCAAACATGTTCTATTTTCTTTTCTCCTTTCAGTAAAATACCTTTACTTCAAGTTAGAAAATTAATAAATAGGGGTTAGAGAGTAAAACGGGAACAGTGCTTGACTTACGTGCTTCCAACCCAGCATCCTACAAAGGTCCCTTGAATTTAACCAAGAGTGACTCCTGAGCACAGAACTAGGAGTAAATCCTGAGCTCAGCCAGGGATGACCAAACATCAAAAATAAGCAAAATCTATTGTATAAACTGGTATCTACTCATTTAAGTTATTACTTAATGTAACTTAGTAGAAAGCTAATATAGTAAGATTTTATTGAAGATCATTTAATATAGACAGCTGTGAGGAAATTAATATGTGAAATATAAAGAAATTAACTTTAAGCTTAAATATAACTGGCTCCAATATAAATGCTAGAATTAGTAATCAAGACATTCTATGAATCTGTATCATTCAGAAATAGCATATTCACTAAACTACTGGTCAGTGCCCTGGGGTCAAAATATTTAAGTCTGGTATATCAATCTTTACTGGTAGTCATTTTTCAATTTCATATGTAGATCAACTAATGTCAAGATGTGAGGATCGGGCTCAATCTGGAAACTCACATTGTTTCGGAACAAACTGGGTCGTTTTGACTCCATGACTTAGCTCATCCCCCCAGCCTTTGGTCTTTAATGTGTCCATCTGACTTCTTGGAGAACTTGCGAGAGAGAGAAAAAGTAAAGATTATGATACAAAGAAAACTCTACCATCCATAAATACCCATTGTATTTGTGTGGCAATTTTCTCAAAACCGGAAGTACTCAGGACTGGAGGGATTGTACAGTGGTTAGGGAGCTTGCCTTGGACACAGCCAACCCAGGTCCCATCCCCAGCACACCCTATCCTGTGTCCGTGTCCTGTGTCCTGCTCTCCGCCGCTCCTCTACCCTATCCCAGCACTGCCAGGAGTGATTCTTGAGTGCAGAGTCAGGAGTTAACCCTGAGCACTGCCAGGTGTAGCCCCCAAAACCAAAACAAACAAAAAACCCAAACAATAAAAAACTGGAGTTACTAACAACCTTTAAATATGAAATTATAAAAGAAAGAATATATCAGTTGTCTAATAAAAAAATAAATAAATAAAAAATGTAAGAACAAAGAATGTATCAGTTGGGACTGGGGTAAAATAAGGCTATCTACTATTTCAGTCAGGTTATCTAACCTGCAGTTTTTCTATTTATGAAATTAGATATCCCAACTCCCACCCACCTGGACTTAAAAAATCTCAGTGTAATAAAACTCTGATTCAAAGATGAAAATTTTAAACCATAAACTGAAATGAATGTAGTAGCTGCCAGTAGTAGAGCACTTGTCTTACATGTACGACATCCTAAATTTGATCCCTGGCGCCACACACAAACACACAAAACACATATACACACACATATCTGCACAAGCAAAAACAGAAACAAAGAGAAAAAAGCAAAACGTTTAGCTTACTGAGAGCGGGACCTCTCATGATATTCATAATAAGCAACAGAAAATCAATTATCTAGCATCTGCCTGTGGCAGGTAGGCTTTGAATGGTGGTGGTAAAATTCGAAATAATGGTGGTGGGAAGGTGTAATGGTGGTGGAATTGGTTTTGAAATACTGAATGTAATCAATTAATGTGAACAACCTGTATAAAAATAAAATTTAAAAATTAAAAAAGTTTACTGAGCGGGAATAAACCGCCAACTGCCTATGAAGCAAACTAAAATTAAAAAACAAACAAACAAACAAAAACAACCATTCTAACAAGAGAATTTACATTCACAAAATTCCCAGACAAATTATTCTTTGTTCTGCATTCAACAACCTAGAGAACAGTATGACTTTTTAACCTTCAACTTAACTGTGACAAAATACCTAGGCTCCCCTTTCTCATATTCTCAACCACTTCAATCCTGAGTTCAAGTATTTTTGTGCACTTTTCACAGGCAAGTAGAAGGCCAGGCACAACCCAGGCATCAGCCTGCACACACACCTCCCCATCTATTTGCTCAGTCTTCAGAGTGAAGATCTGGAGTGACTTTAAGGTTATCTTTAAAATGCACGGAAGATGCCTCAGGGAGAAAGAAAAGAAGTGAACGACAGAGAGAAGGGAGTGTGAGAAGGAAGGGGAGGGGGAGTAAGAGGAAGGAAGGGAGGCCAAGTGGAAGAGTTGGAAGGAGAGAAGGAAAGGGATGGCGTGAACCAGCCAAAGATTAGGGGGAAAGGTGTGCTCGGGAGGTTTGAAAATACCTCTTCCTCTCAGGAACCTGACTTCAATGTGATTCCACTTTTCTGTATTCAAGTTTCAAAGTAAGAATTCACCTCATCAAAAGACTCTAGAGCTATCAGAAATTTCTATTTTGTTAAACCACAGTTCTGTATAATTCAATGTTAACTTCTTTTTGCAACAAAGTCCTTTTTACCATTTCCTCTCCAAAAATGGGAAAATGACTGATTCATCATACTATTGTCTCACCATTCACCCTTACCTGTGATGAACTGAAGCTATGGGAGGAACGGAGTTCCCATGGCCTCCTTCTTTCAGCCGCTCCAGCAACCTTCGGTACTTCTCTCTCTCCTCTTTTTGAACACCCTAAACAAAAAAAAGCACCTTAAGCCTAAAATTAAACCATAATGTGAGACTTAAGAGGCCGAACGCAGCCCTTGGAAGTGTTTCACCAGCCAGCAGAACTTTTAAGAAATTTCTTTGAAGTACCAACTTTATAAATTAGGAAAGAAAAATGTACAAATTTGCATCTTGAACGACTGTACCAACGACCTAGAGCAAGTAGGGCAGGTCCCTTTAGACACGCCATTCCACTGAGCCCATAGCACGTTCCAGCCTATGCTCTCACAGCATCTGACTTCTGGACAGTGGAAATGAATAAATCCCATGACTCCACTGAAACAGTCCACTCTTTTAGTTACTTGTGTTAAAATTATAAAGAATTATAAAGAAAGGCTTTACTGGAGCAGATTAGTATTTGTATTAATAATCTGTTACATTATTTTAACATTATAAAACGTTAACATTATTATGCTTAACTTGCTAATTCAGTGCTTTCAGCTTCTCAAGTGAACTGGTAGCACGAAAGCTAACTTTTTATGCCCAGATGCATTAAACACTGTTTTTATTTTCCTATCTCTCACAGTCTCTCATGCTGCTCACCTTGTCTTCCTAGACAGTCAAGTCCTGTGATTTCTTCTTAAGCTTATCTCAAGTCTCTGCTGCAAATTACTTTTTCTGCCCTCCCTTAAATGCGAATGATTCAGCCCTTAATTCTTTTCAGCCTGTTTTTTCCCTGAATGAGCTTCTTACATATATCTCCTGACTTAAGCAACACTAGCAATGCAACATCCAGGAACCCTGACTATGTCTCACAATTCCATCCCCAGAGCCAAGAGTCTAAGGGCAGGCCTTCTGGCGGGTTTCACAGGCTCTTTTAACAATGCTCAAAACTGATGTCAACCTCTTCCCCCTAAATACACACAGCAAATCTTAGTCAGTGACATGTATTTTATATAAGACTATAATTCAGGATGCAAGTCTTTTCCTTCTAACTTTGTATTACACCTAACCAGGAAATATGAGTTTGCATTACACCTAACCAGGAAATAGCGTCTTCTACTATTTCTAAAATAGATGTCTGATACACATTATTTGCTCAGATCAATCTCTGTCCTCTCATCTAAGAAGAGTTGAAGCCCACTTTAATACTTAATACCCTTCCTTTCCAGGACTGAAGGTCATTCTTCCTTGCCTACCAACATTTGCTGACTATAAATCACTAGGCATAAGCTCCCAGAGAACAAGAGCCACATTTTACTCAATTTGGTACTGCTGACAACAAGCATAGAACCTGGAATCCAAATAAATATTCCTAAACAAACTAGCTAGAAAAGACACTTGGCAAATTACAACCAGTGAGTTCTGGGTTATGCCAGATACAAGAATAATTTAACATCTCCGGGAATAAATGACAACTTTAAAGAGGAAATGAAGGGCTAGAAAGACAGTACAGTGGGTAGGCACTTGCCTTGCATGCAGTCGACCCAGGTTCATTCCCCAGCAAACCCCACCAGGAACATCCCTGAGCCTAAGGTCAGGAGTAAGCCCTCAGCACTGCTGAGTATGCCCCACCCCCCAAAAAGAAATTAGTTCAAAAGGAAGTGAAGACTATTGATGAAGATATTATGCTAAGCGCCCTGAAAAGTGAAGGAAAAACCAGACATTCGTTTGCTTCCTTGGACTTCCCTTTTACTAATTCAAATATTGCAGCTTATTAAAATAAAAAAAAGCTAAACAAATGCAAACACTGAAAATAAAATCCATACTATTCCTTACAGTGAAAATATACCTGGAAACTGAATCATATGTGAAGACTATCTCTAGAAGAATATAAAACGAGGACCCATGTTACCTGCTAAAAGAAAGGTGAGGACCAAGTATAGAAGAATAGAACATTTCATAACTATACATCCTTTTGTATCATTTTGTTTTGTTATGCGCCTTCCCCCCCCCCCCCCCCCCGCAACAGTTGCTTAGAGCTTGCTCCTGGCTCTGTGCTCAGGGATTACTCCTGGCAGGACTCAGGGGGCTGTACAAGGTGCCAGGAATTGCACCTGGGTCATGCACGTGCAAGACAAGCACCCTACCCACTATACTATCCCTCTGGCTCCTTTCATATCTTTGAATGATTTAAGATAAAGTATTATACAAAAAGAGGCTGGGGGACAACAGGGTGCACTCTAGGCATGCCATTCCCAGCACCACATGGGCCCCAAGCATTACCAGATGTAGTCCTGAAAGCCTCCAAGCACTGCCAGAGCGGCTTGGGTATCCCTGACACTGCAGTGTGCAGGTGGCATGTCCTTGCACTGAACTGCTGGCTGGCTGGCCAAGAACAAACAGCTGGCAGATCCCCACCCCCACTCCTGACCTTTTGACCACTGCATGGAAAACTGCCCCCCCCCCCCCCCAATTCTTAATGCATCTGTGAAAAGATCGATCCCTCTCAAAGGACTTACCTCTTCCACAGTACAGTGGGGACGCCGCAGACCCTTGCCACTGTCCTCAGAGGTCACCTCTGTCACCACCTGCTCCTGAGGTCTCCACATTAGGGAACTCTCTGGATTGCCTTTGCTATGGCGACGGCCACCTGGTCTTCTACTGTAGCCTTCTGCGTTTGAAGTAAAACTGAAAGAAAAAGAAAAAATGATCAGCAGACGGTCTCCAGGGCTAGAATGTAAGCCCCCAGGCCATCCTGTGTTTTCAGGTTGCCCTAGGTTAAGTTGGCCACTGGCCAGTCAGACACTTCACACCCATTCAAGTTAGCTCCATCTCCACGGCAGATGGCACCCCAGCTTTCTGCTCTGAAATGTGCTTCCAGTCACCAAGGCTGCCACCACGTAAAAGCTGCCACATTCTTCATGTCCAGCTTTCCAACCCCAACTCCGGACTGAGCTTCCCATTAGACCTGCCTCCTTTGGTTTCATACTTCTTCAGCCACCAGGGACCATGAGAATGAATTACTGGCATGCCTATTAAGTCAAAGTCTAAATGACATGCTACATCTTAATTCCATGAAGACAGAGACAAGCATGTTTTTGCCACTACACCCCTCAGAAAATCTAAACCATCAAGGCACTCAAGACCTGTGAGTGCTCAGTTGATAAATGCTAAGCAAGGAAGGGCATGAGACAAACTGGCTGTACCTCTCTTGGTGCAATTTCAGAAAGCATATGCCAATTTATAGAACATTTTTACCAAAGCAGTACATAACTTGAAACAAATCTGGAGTAAACATCAAAATTAGTGAGGTCAGGGAGTTCAGTGGGTAGGGCACTTGTCCTGTGTGTGGCCAACCTGAGTTTGATCCCAGGCATCCCATGTGGTCCCCTAATCCCTGCCAGAAGTGACTCCTGAGTGCCAAGTCAGGAATAACCTGCGCACTACTTAGATGTGGCTCAAAAAGGTCTAGAAATTAAGAAACACAATAATTATGAATAGAACTATAAAAGCCTTTCACAGAAGTGCGGTGTATGTGTTTATAAAGACTTATTAGTGGGCCCAGGGAGGTAATACAAGATTCACAAGGTAATCAAAAGATTAACACAAGGTAATCAAAAGATTCCTAGAAATGAACGAAAATGAGGACACGAGTTACCAAAACGTATGGGACACTGCAAAAGGTGTGTTAAGAGGAAAGTTTATAGCTCTACAAGCATTCCTCAGGAAGGAGGAGCAAGCCCAACAACAGGGGCTTCATTCCACTCTGATTTGATTTTTGGCACATGGTCCCCCCAGATGACGCCAGATGTGGCCTTCATGGTCCCTGGTACCATAGGGCCCAAGGTACTGCAACCTCAAGGCCCCATTGAAGCTCTAGCCTGGCTGGCTGAGAATCACTGTGAGTGGTCCCCAAGTCCCCTGAGCACTTCTTGGGAGCTCCGTCCCCTGCCAAAGAAAACTGTATTAGCTTACATGACTTTCTGCGTACACAACACAATTTAAAAAAAAAAACAAAAACGCTTTTTTTGCTTTGGGGGCGCCCACACTGAACAGTGCTCAGGGTTTACTCCTGGCTCTGAGCTCAGGGATCACTCCTGGTGGGCCTGGGGGACCTTATGGGGTGCAGGGATCAAACCCAGGTTGGAAACATGCAAGGCAAGCACCCTATCCACTATATTATTGTTCTGGACCTATTAAATAGAAAAGTTGGATTTTTTTCCTAAGTGGCCAGATGGTACAGTGGGTAGGGTGCTAGCACCCCATACGGTCTGCAGAGAAAGGGTAAGCTCTGAGAGCATTCGAATATGGCCAAACACACACCCACACCCACACACAAAGGAGTAATAATTATTTTTAAAAAGGCTTTACATCAGATGTCGTAGGCATATGATAAAGCAGGATAAGGAACACGGGGGCCAGAGAGACCACTCAAGTGACTGAAGAGGATGTTTATATGTACAAGGCCATGAGCTCAAATTCGGGTGCTGTGTCCCCCTCCCGCAGCACTGCCTGCCAAGAATTGTCAGTTGTGACCCTCATGGCTCCCAGTATCCTTGGACCCTGAGCAGCACCACTTCACCAGGGGCAGAGCATCCAATGGCGACTCCACATCACTGAAACCTGGAGCACTGAAAGTGGCCCCTGAACTGCTGAGGGATACAAATCTGAGTTCAAGTTCCTTGCTGAATAGTACTTAGCAGTTACTAGCCTCAGAGTATCTAGTAACATCGCACGAGAAGATATATTCCTCTCAAGCGCACGTTATACATCTCATGTTTAGAGTCAGTGTTAGGTCACAAAACAAGCCTCAATAAATAATCATATCAAGTATTGTTTTTAAGACCACAATGGCACATAGCTAGAAATCATCTATAAAAAGAAAACTGAAAAAAGCTCCAAAACATGGAGACTCAACAACATGTTTCTGAACTACTTTTGTGTAAATGAAGAAATCAAAAGAGAAACGTAATCTGGAGATAAAAATGAAGAAATAAGCTACCGCATTCTATTTGAAAACAACAAAAACTGGCATTAAGAATCAAATTCACACAGCTGGAGAGGTAGTAAAAAGAGCATTTGCCTTGCATGTGACCAACTCTGGTTCAAATAGTTAGCACCACGTATAGTGTTTCAAACACTACGAGGAGTGATCTCTGAGCAGAGTCAAGAGTAAGCCCTGAACACTGCCGCCATGCTTTCCCCCAAAAAATAAAATAAGCAGGGTACCGCCCCCCAAAAGAAAATATGATTCCCCTATATTCTTCACAGCATTATTCCTTACAGTCAAAACATCACCCTAAGTGCTCACAGAAAGATGAGTGGAGAAATAAGTGGCTGCCTATGTACTCATGGAACACTATTCTCCTATAAAAAATGAGGTCAGGCTTTCACAGCACCATGGACAGAACTTAAGGAATCACGTTAAATGAAAAGACACAAAGTGAAGACAATTAGTGATGGTTTCACACTTACGGAAATGTAACTAACCAAAGCAAGCAAACAAAAGCATGCAAAACACGACAGAAATAACGCATACTGAAAAATACAGGTACCACAGGGGAAGAGGCATGGGGAAGGAAAGAATAGGTACAGAGGGCCATTCTGAGAGTCTGATGCACTGGCAGTCTGGGGTGCATGAAGCTGTATTCCCAAACAGGAGTATGACTGTATAGCAACAGTAAATCAGTAAAACTTCTTTTTAAAATTACATAACAGGGGCCAGCATGATATACAGCAGACAAGGCACCTGCCAATGTACACAGCGGACCTGGGTCCAATCCCTCGCATCCCATACAGACCCTGGGCACTGCCAGAAGTAATTCTTGGGTACAGAACCAGGCATAATCCCTGAGTACCACTAAGTGCGGCCAAAAACCAAATAACAGTTACATAAGGAAATAAGAATGAAACTATCTAGCAACAATGATCTCCAATAAACGCGAAGCATTCATTTACAGACAGGTGGAATTTAACACTTACCCAAAGGAAGGCAGAACTCTGCGAGGCTGATCTCGGGTTACTGTCACTCTGATCTTTGGATAGTCACTTATTCCGTTAGGTGATTTATTACCTATTTTTAAAATGTATTTATATTTGTAAAACAAAACAAATAAAAAGCATCTGTGAGTAGTTGCATTAAATAAAATCTGTGAGCAGTCTACAATTGTACAATTAGGTATATTTTCAAATTCTGTTTATAGTAAAGAAGTGGTCCAGTACAAACTTTGCAAAATTTCAAGGAAATTTCAAGCAATAGGGCCCAGTTTGTCATTTATGGCACAAAAGCAATACAGATTCCTAGTTAAGGTTTTCCGGTTTCAGTTGTTTCGACCAACAGAGGCAAGAACTCAATGATCACAAATGCTCTGTGATTTAATCAAATCGAACTGTTCTTGTTTTTTCCCAAAAAACTAAGAGTTTTAAAAGAGAACTTGCTAGATGGGAGCTAAAGCAAAAAAAAAAAAAAAATCAACAGATAGGTGCATGCCCTGCATGTAGCCAACCAGCGTTCCATCCCCAGCACTCCATATAGTCCCCCTGAGCCCACCAGGAGTGATACCTGAGTGTAGATCCAGGAGTAGCCCCGAGCACAGCCAGGAGTGGCTTGAAAACAAACAAAACAACAAACCCTACCTTGCCACATTTCACCAGTGGAACTATTCCACTTTAAAAATGGCACACAACTTTCATTATGCTCTTTGCTGAATCTGAGGACTAAAAACTGCAAAGCAGTCTTAAGACTGAAAGCTTTTCCAGACATCAGTAATAGCAAACTCTAAACTACCCTGAATCCATTTTGTTTCCCAAATCTCACGTGAACCAATATTCAATCCCAATTAATTTTTTTAAAGTACAATTAATAAACTACCCAGAGTACAAAAAAGTTCTGAATTGTATACACATCTGCAAGAATTTCAGAGAAGAGATTTAATGAGCTCTTCCTACACGATCTGCCCTCGGTACATCAGTCCTTTTGACCGGCTCCACAAAACCCACAAGATATAGGGATAAGGGGCCAGAGACGTGGCTCAGGGGTCAAACATAAGCCCTGCACATATCAGATCTAGGTTTAGTCTCCAGAGCATCAGAAAAATACCACCATGACTAGAAATATACTGAGGATAATAACTTAAGAACAAGATAAAATCCTCTTTCTTACATGTCCATTTTAATGGTATATAATTTTAAAAGTTATTTATTCAAATAACATGAAAACATCGTAACAACTAGCCTGTACTGAACTTAATGAAATGCAAGACTTCCAAGAAATATCACCTTTGTTCCAGTTTCTTCGTAATGAGATTCTGAGAGTCAGGGGTATGGTTTTATTCTTCTACCAGACATATTTTACTTAAAAGAAAAATTTGAGAAGAGGCTACAGAAAGTACAGTGGACAGGGCTCTTGCCCTGCATGCGTCAAACCCATATGCAATTCCCAGCACCTCAAAGGGTCCCTAGAACCTGCCAGGACTGATCCCTGAATGCAGAGCCAGGAGTAAGCCCTGGGCATCTCTGGTTATGGCCCGCACCGCCCCTCTTGGGGAAAAAAAAAAAAAGCTTGAGAAATACTACCTAAGAGTTTTAACATTCCTCCAAAGTTCTTACCCTTTTGACTTCTGACCCCTAACTTTCTGAAAGTTCCTTTTGCCTTCCTCTCAAAGGTTAGAAGCCTTCCTGTGCGGAGCTGCTGCAGTGTCCCGAGCAGATCAAAGCCTCCACCACGGGGCTGGATCGATAGCACAGCGAGTAGAGTGTTTGCCTTGCACACAGCTGACCCGGGGTTCAATTCCCAGCATCCCATATGGTCCCCCAAGCACCGCCAGGAGTAATTCCTGAGTACATGAACCAGGAGTAACTCCTGAGCATCGCCGGATGTGACCCCCCCCAAAAAAAAAATTAAAAATTGAAAAAAAAAAAGCCTCCACCGCTGCTCCCTTGGCTCAGGACATGGGCTGCAGTGCCCCAAGTACCCGAGGGCGCCTGCACCACTGATGCCATGGCTCAGAACACCTGTGGCGCTCCAAGTGTGTATCAAAGAGTGCCACCCGCAGTGTATTATGGAGGAAAATCTCCCTGAACGTCAACTGGCTGAGGACCAGACTGAGAACCAGGGCACGTGCCCCCACCCACCACCCCCGCAGCTGGCTGCAGCCCATCCAGAGTCCCCGAGCCCTGCATGGCACTTGTCCCGGCTGGGACCCAGCGCCATTCGATGAGCGAGAGCATCAGCAGTCTACGATGCCCTCTGGCTTCTGAACAACCCAAAGTCGTCGTTATGCCTCCAGCCTGACTACATCAACTTGGATGGAGTTCATCATCTCCATCAAGTTTTCCGAGAAATGAATCCACCAATATTTAGGTATGTGGGCGCTACATTCATAGAACACCTCTGAATCGGCCATACTAGCTCATGTTCCGGACTTGCCCCAAGAGACTCAAATAAATCTTGAAAGAGATCAAAAAGATGCAGTAAGTACATCTTCTCAGACCCGTGCAAGGCTTCATTTTATCTGTTACTTTCTTCCTGATAATACGATGCCTGGTACAAAGTAAGTTCTCAGAAGTCACACATATAGATTTAGTGAATGAACCGGATCTAATGATGACATTCAGAGAACACTACAGTAATTTTAAAGGCAATGCTACAAGTAAGCTAACTGCTATTGAGAAGGGTAGAAAGAACTGTACAAAGATGTTTCTCTTTCTTAGTCTCAAAACTCAAGGGAAAAGGGGGAGAAGAGAGAAAGTAGAAATATTTTTTTTTTTTAATTTTTTTTCCCCTTTATTTTATTTTTTTTAAAGTTGTAGATTTACAATTTTTTGTGCTTTGGTTTCAATTATACAATGATCAGATACCCATCCCTCCACCAGTGCCCATTTTCCACCACCATGGATAATATCCCTCCCACCCCCATCCCCCCATCCCCCCTGTCTCTGTGGCAGGGCAATCCCCTGTGTTCTCTCTCTCCTTTTGGGTGTTGTGGTCTGCAAAAGAGGCATTGAGTGGCAAACATGTTCAGTCCATAGTCTACTTTCGACATGCATCTCCCCTCCTGGGAGGATCCTCCAAACATCCTTTATTTGGTGCTCCCTTCTCTATCTGAACAGCCCTTTCCTCTAGGATACCCGGCTGGCCTCTAAGTTATGGAGTAATCCTCCTGGTGCTGATCTCAGCTATTCTTGGGTATTAATCTCATACTTTGTTAGAAAGTAGAAATATTTTAAACACCTCACCCAGTTTCAGCATGTTGTTCCAGGATCCAGAACCAGTCAGTTCACAAGACGAAGAGTTCGAAAATACCTTAAAAAGAAAAAGAACCACGATGTAGCATCTAAATTTTAAAGTTTAAATACATTTCTAGTATTTTCTGAAAAACAGAAAGAAAAAAACTCTATTGGTTATTATTTCACCTGGAGAGATATATCACTGAGACCAAAGGTTTAATTTGTAAAGAGCCACAAATGATATAAAAAAAAAAAAACACAATTCTAGGTTCTTTCCACTTGATCACTTGACTTCCCGTTAATCGTTGATTTGCTCGAGCAGGCGCCAGTAATGTCTCTATTTGTCCCTGTCGCGTGCTAGTGTAGCCCAATGGAGTCTGTTCGCTCTAGGAACACGAAGAGCCTCAAACCGATCATTCATGATCTTGATGAAGTCTGACCATCTGGTAGGTGGGTGGCCACACGGTCTTTTGACATCCCGTGGAATCCAGTTGGTAACAGCTCTCGTCCAGCGGTCGTCTTTAAATCTCATTACGTGACCAGCCCATCTGACTTTTGACACTTTGGCAAACGAGACAGCGTCCCTGATTCTTGATCGTCCCTGATTTTTGATCATTGACGGAGGTCGGAACTCTGGATTCTTTCTCTCATTTGAGTGAAACGTGATACTCCAAGCATAGCTCTTTCAATTCTTCTTTGGGAGACCGGAATAGCATTCTCATCCTGTTTGCATAGGGCCCAGGTCTCTGAGGCATATGTTAATGCATTTAAAATAAAATGCATCCTTATAAAAACTTGTACAGGATAATTTTATACATTTTTAATGTTTTGTATACCAAGGTTAAAATTCATGCTACATATTATTTCCTGAAAGAGAGAACACAGTACTGAAATTTAATTTAATAATTAAGTGTAAAAAAGTAGGCATAGAGATGCCCACACCACTGACCTCTCCTGAAGGGGCCGCATTCCGTGTTCCATTACAAGCAGAGGTCACCATGGGCTTTGTGGTCAGCTGGAATGGGAATCCAAATAAGCTGGCAGCATTGTAGAGACTGCTTTTCACTTGATGAATAAAGCAATCTAGAAAGTTTGACACAGACAATATAAAGACCAGACATATACATACATATACACATATATACATACATACATACATACACAGAATACCAACTTTCAGCAGAATATATTTGAGAAAAGGCCTCTGGTTATTTTTATTGAAAGTTCCATTTTCAATCCTGGAGATTAAAAAAAAAAACTTTAAAAATATTTTCTCCTAAAGAACTGGAATTCCAGCATTGTGGTTTTTGGGTTTCAGTAAAATATCTGGGATGCTAAGAAAATATTTCGGACCATGACTTTAGCAAACCATATCTGGCTCACAAAAAAAAAAAAAAATCAATGTTCCAGCCATTATGATTTGTAAGCAGTGAGCTCTTCATAATATATAAAATATATCCTTCCCAGAGAGGAGTTTAGAAGCCTGTAACAACTGTGCAAAACAGAATTTTAGTGCAAGAAACATCATTTATTCACTTGTTTGTTCCTGATTCCCAAGTACGTAACAACTAAACTACTATATACTAAGGGTCCATTTATATCTTGGCTAGGCCCAGGATAGACATTAGCGAGTACAACAAATGTAGCTATGATGGAACAAGACTGCCTTCACTGAGAAAATGGCTCTGGAAGATCTCAGTCACCCCTATGATCCCATCAAAACAGAGATAAAGTAAGTAAACAGGGTGGAAGGGAGGAGTTTAGTATTTCCCCCACTTCCTCCTTTAATCAAACTACCCCTTTATTACTTCCTACACTGCAGTTTAGTTTTCTATTCTTTAGGAGTTTCAAATTAAGGGTATTTCAAAGCAATAACTTGAGAGCAAGAGACAATCTTATTAAGTCACATTCTGCTGTAGGAAAAAAAATAGGACAGAAACTTATTTATGGTGAAATTTAAGCAACAAGCATTCCAGATGTGTTTTTCCAGAAGATTAAGGGAATAAATTGAATGGGAGGATGTGATAACCAAGTGAAGCAGAATCCACTTTAAGGTAATTTGTCACCAGAGAATACTTGAAAGTGCCGAAGTTGGCATATATCTTGTTATTTGTCTTATTAACTATAGACAATTCCAGATTATCCCTCAAATAATGTTAAGGACGATCACTTACAATCTTGTTTCTTAGGTGGAAGAAAAAGACTTTGATGTAATGGTTCTTAAAGCATCAACTGTCATTTCAGCTGACCCCAGAGTAAAGAGTGTGATGTAATTTAATGGGAGTTAAATAGTTGAAGCTAAACTAGAAGATATACTTATTTTGTTAGAAATCTTGTCAGCATTTGTATATACTCCAAGACTACATCAACTTTTTTTTTTAAAACCGTCTCATTTGTTAACTGGGGATAAGATCATATACATCACTGGAAACTAAACTATGAGTATACCCTTAAATCCCTATAATATGAAAGATTAAGTGTGATTTTCAGATCCTATTTCTTCTTTTACCCTGTATTTTTCGCACTCAAAAGCACCAGAGATAATAGTAGCCAGTAACTGCATGTAGTTACTTAAGTTTAAACAGAAGTATCATTCCTCAATCACACGAGCCATTTTAAGTCCTCAACAACCATCATCACAGAGTGCTACTGGACAACACTGCCCAGTACTTCAGAGATCTGGCAAGTGAGAATTAGTGACCCAGTGCTTCCCCCTTTGTTTATGTGTCTTTCTATAATTTCCATTCAGAAAAACTACAATAAATTTTTCATGAAAACATGGACATACTTAAAACAGAAGTCTGTAAAAGATAACTTTAATTGAGGAACCATCTGTAATAGCATCACAAAGGTTAGTGTGTGTGCTATACAGTTATTTAGATCCTCTACATAAATTCATTTTTTTCTAAATATATCTATTTAAAGGAATCTGTCTGTGTATAAAATATCATTTGCCTTACAAATAAAAACACAAGTTTAAGTTAGAACTGTTCCAAAAGTAATCAACACACATTACTCAAGTACTGAAAGCATATTAGCATTAAATCAAGATTTTCTACTTAAAGTAATCAAAATATTTAAAATTATTAAAAATGGTGCCACGGATGGAGCTCAATTGCAGACTATGTACTTCGCATACCTGAAATCAAGTTCAATTCCTGGCACCTTATAAAAAAACCAAGAACTAAAAAAGATGTGTTTTGAGTATGTAGTAAGAGTTCAAATGTTACTTAAATTGTTATGAATACTTTATCTTCTAAAATAATTTCCTGAACTGCCATCTGTCCTGTGCTTTGGGAAATATTGTCCTAATAAATTTAATACAAATCCTTAGACTTCAAAAATCCTCTATAATCTTACCTATTTCTCAACGGTCAATTTAATACCCCTATTCCTTCTTTTCAAAATTACACAACTGTCCCCATACTGTTCTCTCTGCCTAAAATGTTTTTCCTTCCTATTGCTCTTACTACATCCATGCTTCAAGACCCATATCAGGATTATCTACTTTATCAAATATTTAAGACCCTTAACCAGCTGAAAGTTGGGACAGTAAATTGTTACCATGATTCTTATATTGTGTATCTTCAATGTGTCATACTGACACAAGCAGTATGAGTACCTGTCTCCAATGTCCTTCTGCATACAGCCATCTGCCTACACAATTATAAAATACTTAAAGAAATTCTAATTCTTTAATTTTCCATAGAACCCAACACATAACATAGCATTAAGACACATTCAATAAAGTGACTTATTGGATTTCAATAAAAATTCATCTTGACACAAGTATGTCCAATCTCAATTATAGCTAGAAGTAAACCCAAATCCATACTCACATCAAAAAAGAGAAATGAATTATTATAATATTCCAGGAAGCCTTCTTCCCATAATCCTATTTTATTCTTTTCTGACCGAATTACATCTACCCCTTAAGATACAAGGAAATAAGCAACTTAAGGCAAAACTTTAGATTTGGTTCATCAGCCCTCTGAACTGGATGACTTGGTCTATAATTGTTTTAGCAATGTTTTTTGATTCAAAAGTAAAAAACACCTTTGGTTTACAGGAATATTTTGGATTTTAAATAGATGTTCAAAACACAGGCTTACTAATGTGGAAAGATACTTCTTGGTAATGGTGGTTACCTCTAAATATTAGGTAACTGAGAAGAAAAGGGACAGGAAAGAGATTTTTCATTGCATGTACTTTATATCTTTTATATGTTTCATAATAGTTTCCTAGTAAAAACTAATTTTTAAAATTAATATTAAATACCTAATCTTGGTCTTTTAGCAGGTATCTCATCAGTGTCCACTGTAGAAAACAGAGTGCTGAAGAGAGAAAAAATATATTTTACATATATAAACATACCATTTCTACAAGTAAATCTACTGTTCAGAAAAAACAAATATCATCTGCTTTGCCAGAAAATAAGATTCAACTGTTTTTTGCTTACTGAACGTATTTTATTTCAAATGATGTTTTAAAAGAAACCACTACTCTCTAGACCTTTTAACATCTGAGGACTAAATACTTAAGTTTAAACTATTTGAGGCCCAAAACTCCCTATTGGCTAAACAACAAACTGAATATTGGAAGAAATCACCTACCTAGAAATGAATAAAGTAAACACCAGCGTTTTTATGAAAGAAGAAGGACCAATTGCGGCCGAAGCATTAGTACAGTGGACAGGGAAAAGTGTGCTTTGCACGCGGCCAACCGGAGCTTCTATCTCTGGCATCCCATTCGGTCCACTGAGCACCGCCAGGAGTTAATTCCTGACTGCAGAGGCGAACTAAGCCCTGAGCATCCCTGAGCATCGCAGGACGTGGCCCCCAAACAAAAACAGCAACAAAAAAAGAACTAGCGTCTTTTTCCTTTCCAGAAACCAAAAAACAAAACAAAACAAAAAACCCCACATATATAACTTCCTTGTAAAATATTCCCAGCACTCCCACCCCTTTCAAGAAAATAAGTATTTGACTTCAGGGAAATGGAGCTCATCTTCAAAAGCGTTAAAAAAAAAAAAAAAAAAACAGGCTTCGGCCAGAACACACGCCTCATTTAACCGCATTTTAAACACAAACTATGCTACAGTGGTGGGGGGAAAAATGGGTGAATTTTGGGTAAATTTTTAACCTATACCTCAAGAATAGTGAAGGCTCACAATATGCCTGCCACTAACCATCTTTCTAGAGATGAAGATGATTGATGACCTTAAAAAATAAAAAATAGGATCATCAGAAAACCTGGAAAAGTACCCCTCGGCTCCTAACTTTCTACATGCTCAAGAGACCCCTTCGCACCATTCTGACTGAAAAACGGCGAACATGAAGAACGCCTATTTTTTTGCTTTGTCTTTCGGCCCGGGGCCCCGTGCGGGGGTGCGTGGGGGTTCTTCGGCCTGGCTCCTCGCTCAAGCATCACCTCCAGGCTTGCTGCGCTAAGGCTGGAGGAGCGCAGAAGTGATGCCGGGACGCGAACCGGGGGCGTCCGCGGGCCAAGGCAGGCGGGACTTGGGCCCTGAACCGCATCTCTCCAGCCAGCGGCCGAGCAGCTGTTTCAGGTCGGACTCTATGGTCGAGAACCGCGTCGAGATTCAAATCACCCACCACCCCCAACTGTCAGGGTCCCACGGAGAGAGAGGTGGGGTGGGGGGACTTGGAGGGGCACTCCAAGTCCCCCAAGTCCATCAGGGGCGTACCAAGTGCCTTCGGGGTGGAAGGAACACACACTAGCCCCGATCTAGATAGCAAAGCATCGATTCGGAGCCTCACAACCAGCTCTCAGACCCGCTCTCCGCCCTCCCGGGAACACGGGGACGGGGACGGAGGAACTCAGCCCACCGAGGCCGCTTCATCAGGACCAGGACCCGCGCTCGGGGGCCGACGGGAGCGACCCCTCGGCTGCCTCTTCTCCCTCTCTCGAACGCCGGGGGTGTGGGGGGCGGGGGGAGGGTCCCCGAGGGGCCTCGGGAGAATGAAACGGGGCGGACCCCAAAGGGCTGGGGAAGAGGCTGAGCCGCGCTGGCGCGCGCGCGGTGCTTTCAAGCTTCCCGGGCACAACTTGGGCAACAAAGTTGCGGGCGGGCGGGCGAGTGAGGATGTCGCGGCGAGAGGAGGGCGGTCCCCCACCGTCCCTCGGCCTAAGGGCGCCCCCCTCCCCCTCCCCCACCGCCGCCCCCAGCCCCAGCCCCACGGCAACACAAAGCCACCACACCCCCTCCCGTTTGACAGCTGCGCGGCCGGCAGCCGCCCCCTCCGGCCGCCCGGGGAAGCGAAGCGACGCGCGGCCTGGCCCGGCTCGGCCCGCCTCGGCTCGGCCCGGCCCGGCCCGGTTCGGCCCGCAGCCCCGCGGCCGCCGGGTGGCGGGGGACCCTCTCGGGAGCGCCCGCGGCCCGCCGTCGCCCGCCGCCACAACAAAGAGCGGCCGCGTCGTCGGGACGGAGTCCCCCGGCGGCCCCCGCCCCCCGGGACCCCCGCCCGCCGCCGCCGCCGCCGCCCCCGCCCCGCCCCCCCCCGCGCCGCGCTCACCTGTTCGAGCGCCGCCTCTTCAGGGGGGCCCGCGCAGGGGGCGCCGGCCGCTCGCAGAGACGGAAAATGGTGCCGAGGATCCTAGCCAGCCATTTGTACATACCAGGCCCCAGCAGCAGCGGCGGCCGACACACCCCGAGACGCGGACCCCAGAGCCGTCGCCGCCGCCGCCGCCCCCGCCGCCGCCCCGGCCGCCGCCGCCGCAGCGCCAGTCGCCGGCTGGTGACGCGAGCCGCAGGCCAGCCGGTCCCGCGTCCCCAGGGCGACGGAAGGCCCCCCGCCGGCCCCCGCGGCTGACGTCACCTCCTCCCGCCCGACCGGAAAGCGGCTTCAGCCCCGCTCTGCGCACGCGCCGCCGGCCCGCCGCGCGCGCGCCGCCCCGCCCGCCGCCTCCCGAGCCGAGCCACCGCCCCGGCCCCGCCCCACCGCGGAGGCTGCGGCGCGTGGGCGGGGCTGCCTGCCGAGCGGGCCAATCCGGACGCCGCCCGTTGGACAAGGCCCTCCCCCACCCCCACCCCCCACCCCCCGTGAGTGCTACACGTGAGGTTTCGGCAGCCCGGAGGCGGAGTTCCTCCGGAATGTGGAGGACCGACGCACAGATTCAGGGTCGCACAGATGTACACACTGACACACACGCACACGCACGAAGAAAAAAAAGGTGCACAGACACACTGACACACACGAAGGGGAAAAGTAGGTACACAGACACACAAACACACGAAGAAAAATAGGTAGACACACGCGAACAAAAAAAAGTAGGTACAAAGACACACACACAAAGGAAAAGAGTCGGTACACAGACACACACACGACGAAAAAAAAGTAGGTGCTCAGTTGAATGTAGTTCCCCCCCAACAGTTTTTGCCAAAATGTATAAAAGCCATATTTTAAAAAAGATTCTTCTTTGCTATGCTAATCTCCTTTATTTAATTGGGCACATCGTGCCCTGGCATACGACATACACTGTCACCTTCATTTTCCTCTGAGTCCCAGAGAGGGAGTCTGATTTCTAATCCTAATAAGTAAGGAAACAGAGGTATGGAGCAGTTCAAGCATTTGCCTAACTAAATTTTTTTTAAATTTTTGTTTGCGGGCAGTCTTTAATTCCAGAGCAACTTCACTGAATATTCTTGGTTGTTTTTTATCCCTCAGCACTTTGAATGTATATTCCCAACTCTCCTGAAGCCAGAATGACTTCAGCTAAAAAAATTTGCTTTTAAAAAAAATCATTGACTGAGACCACAAAGCTCACTAATGTTAAGGCTGGAATTAAGACCAGATCTTGATGCCAGTCTAACAAGAGGAATGTAATTACAAATGAAAATGCAAGGCTTTTGTAAGACAGTTGTGGACAAAGTGCAGGAGTCAGACACAGCAAGGCCACACGCTGGGGAGGGGTGAGGAAGGTCAGGACTGTCTCAGATCTTTAAGGATGAAAGGGCTCTGGGAGGCTTCTAGTACCTCCAAGTCTCCTCCCCAGAGGCCAGTGCACGTGGCTAATCCTCCTCCTTGAGGCTTCAAGCTCACATTTCTGGATCTTTATCAACTGATGATGATCCAGTGACAGACAATTCGCTCCCATTCCCCCAAACTATTCTTGGGGCTGTCAAAGGTTTTCGTGCCCCATAAGCCCCTTAACACTTGACTTCCAAACTTAACTTAAACTGGCCCATCAGTAAATACATTTATAATTTTATTATAATTTCACAATATTCCAATATTCTGCAGCAAACTTACTTAAACTGGCCCATCAGTAAATATATTTATAATTTTAATATAATTTTACAATATTCTGATATTCTGCAGCAAGCCCTCCTCCCCCAGCTCCAGAACCACCCACTTCCTACCCATGATTTACCACCACTGGACTACAGAGATAGAGGGTAGGCCAGGCTGTAAAAGACAAAAGAAAATCCTAAGTGTTGATATCAACTGCTCTAGATCTTAAAACAACTCATACGGTTCAGTTATAAAGATTTGGAATGCGATTAAACCAAGAGGAAGATTTAAAAATGGTTAGTGTTTAGCATCTATATGTTTGGAGAGACTGTACAGCAGGTGAGGAACTTGCCCTGCACATGGCTGACCCAGGTTTAATCTCCAGCATCCCATATTGTCCCCTAGGCCCCACCTGGTGTGGCCCAAAAACTACCCGGTGTGGTCCAAACACCAAAAACTAAAATAATACATAGCCCATCTTTCAGTCTCTCTGAAAGGATACGCCTTGCCCCAATATCTTCTCTCCACCCTTCTCAATATTCAACAAGTTCCACAAAAGAGCATTTTTCCTTCATCTCTACCATAAGCTATTCTGGGGCTGGTCTCCCAGTTACCTTCAAAAAAGACAACCAGGGACCCAAGACTTAGTATGGGCCTGAGGTGCTCGCCTTGCATACAGTCAACTGCAGTTTGAGCCAGCACCTTGGGGTCTTCTTGAAACTCCCCGCGAATAACGCCTCCCAAAGCACAGAGCTGTACTACCACTCCCTCCCCCCCACCCCCCACACACACACTGCTAGGAGTGGCCCAAAGGAAGCCTGTCAGGATGGGAGAGATAGCTCAGATAGCTCAAGTGGTAGACAGGTCAAATGCACTCGCATATGTGAAGCCACGAATTCTATCCCTGGCATAGCATACCCCCCCCAACACCTCTCTGTGTGGGCCTGATGACCCCCAAAACACACCAAGCCCTGGCACTGAACCATTGGTTCACTCTACCAAGCCACGCATCAGGGGATCGTTCCTATTCAAAGCCCACCCCAGCACAGAATCTGCAGTAGCACCCGAACACTGCTGAATGTGGCCCCCAAATGGGACAGAGTCAAATAACACCCAGTTGTAGTGATTGTAAATTCTGTTCAATTTAAAAAAAAATAAAAAACTGGGAGTGAGAGGGGTTGGAGACAGAGCCTATCATTGGTATTATAATACAAAGTTCAGCCGTGTCCCAAAGTTTATTCCATTACACAATAGTCTTTGCTTTTGCTTAACAAAAAAAATTGATCAAACACCAAAAAGTGACACTCCAAACCAAAGTAGAATTAAATCTGAAATCAGCAAGCTGTTTCAAAAAATAGCAGCATTTCCCTGGGTCTGGCTACCAAGTTTAAGAAATACCCACGGTCTAGCTCATTGGCTAAGCATCTGTTTTAGCAATGTGAGGTCCTGAGTTTGATCCCAGGTGCCACCGTATGTGCCAAGCACCATCCTGGCAACTTGGCAGACATCCTCCCTAAAGGGATGGAGTGTGCAACCCAGACTTAAGAGCCATGGGTCTGAGAGTCCCAAAACTGAAGTGTGGGACCCCCACTCTGCATCGTGGCTGAGGAAGGGAATACTGCAATTAGATGGACAAGCACCTCAACCAAGCACCTCTGATCCCCGGTTATCATCCGCAGCAATAAAAGGAAAGGAATGAAGGGGAAATGGAGGCATCTAGTCTTACTGCACTTAATGTTGATCAGTAGCCCTGAAAATGGGTGGGCTTGAAAGGTACGGGCCTTGGGGCTAGAGAGAAAGTGTTCAGGTAAGGCCTCCACAGGGGCTGACTTGGGTTCACTCCCTGGCACCACATAGGGTCCCCAAACACCACTGATCTCAGAGCTAGAGCAAGCCCGGAGGGCTGCCAGGTGTCAACATAAAAGGCGAAGGAGGAGGAGGTGGAGGAGGAAGAGGAGAAAGAGGAAGAGAAGGAAGAGACAAAAACCAATAATGTAGTCTGAATTCTTGTACCTCATTGAGTCATGAATGCGGCAATCTTCAGCACCTTCATATACATAAACTCCTCCTTTGTGGCACCTTAGTGACTCAGTTTCCCCTCTAAAATGGAAAAAATAAATAAAAATAAAATGGAAAAAAAAAGGACTCCTACTTAAAGTTACTGGCGGCTGGGACTCTGCTAGTTGGTGCCTTTTCAAGTGGAAAATAGACCCTCTCCCTCTCTCCTTCTCCCCACCCCACCTCCCAACCACCGCAAGAATGAAGGAAATAGACCTGCTCCCAGACTCCATCCTGAACAACAGAGCGTCAGCTGGAGACAAGAATAGGCAGCGGTTCCGGAACCAAACTGCTACTCTGCTGTGCCCGGAAGGCCTCCAGATGAGCCTCTTGCCTCCGGACTGCAAAATGGGCTCCACGTGTCCTTGAAATGGTGCTGACCTTGCTTTGCAACAAACAAGACTGGGAATTTCTGCTCCCGAGTGCTGCCTGCAAATGCCTCATTCCCATCCCCACCCCCATCAGATGTTTTGTCAAACTGAGCCCTGTTCCAGCTCAATCTGGGTTCCCCCAGGCATGAATAAATCCTGCTTCTAAACTTGTTTGGGTTTTCCCAGTCCAGCTGGGTGGAAATCTGCAACACTTTGACCAAAGTAGGGGATGTTGTCTGTCTGATGGCCACTGAGTGGGATGATGCTTAACTTCTTGCTGCTATGGTGATTCCAGGGTGGGGAGACTCAGCTGGGGAGGGGGTGACCAAGGAGCGCTCTAAAATCATATGGGATTACGAGAACATTGAGTTCTGTCTTCCTTTTGGAACAACTTGGACTGCTGGAGTGGTGCAGACTCATTGTTTTAATTTGTATAAGGCATCCCAAGTGAGAGATGCTTTCCAAACAGATGCTCTCCTCTTTCTTGAGGTGTTTCTTCAAGTCTTTTAAGAGTACCCTTTCCTTCCTCAAAAGCTATTTTCCCTTCTGCAAAATAATATAGACCCAGCCTTCCAATTCCTTTTGAGTTTTACAATGTTTCCATTTGGGTTAGAGCAAAGGCACAGCAGATAGGGCGTCTGCCTTGCAAGAGGCTGGCCCGGGTTCATTCCTCCGTCCCTCGTAGAGCCCCGCAGCTACCTAGCGTATCTCACCCACGTGCCAAAACCCAGCAAGCTCCCAGTGGTATATTTGATATGCCAAAAATAGTAACAAGTCTCACAATGGAGCCCTTATTGGTGCCCCCTGGAGCAAATTGACGAACAATGGGAGGACAGTGCTACAATGTTTCCTTTTACCAGCGTTTTAGAAGTGATCAAAGGTCTTTCAGTTTCTTTACTCTTGAACCACCAATGGAGTTATAAAGTTAAACTTGTTCCTGAGCCCTATAGTGTTCCAGTACCCATCCCTTCACCAATGCCCAGTTTCCCTCCACCAAAGTGCACAGTTTCCCTCCCATGCCCAACCAGGAGTCTCTAGTCCTTTTAGGCACTGTGGTTCGCAGGACTGGTACTAATAGCGTATCATGCCTATCGCTTTACCTCCTTTCTGCACTCAGTTCTTTCAGTGATCACTTCTCAGCCTCGTTGTCATAGTACAGTGCTCCCTTGTCTGTCCTGATCACTTTCCCTGCATTGTGGCAAGTTTGCTAAATTTTTTTGAAGATTATTTTTATTTTTATTTATTGGTTTTTTTTTTTCTTTTTGGGTCACACCCGGCGATGTACAAGGGTTACTCCTGGCTCCTGCACTCAGAAATTACTCTTGGCGGTGCTCAGGGGACCATATGGAATGCTGAGAATCGAACCTGGGTTGGCCACATGCAAGGCATTACCCGCTGTGCTATCGCTCCAGCCCCAAGTTTGCTAATTTTTGTCTTTGACGGCAAAGAACTCTGGGCCAAATGAATGCTACAGGAACCCATAGACGAGATGGAACTCAAGTGCCTAAAATCCAACATAAATCACCTTCCTGTAGATTCATTTCCTTCCAGAGACCAAGTAGGGGTACACAAGAAACGGCTGTCTTAATAATGTGACTTTGATTTTAGTCTGTCTGATAACAACGTTGGCCCTAGTGTGCCAAACACAAATGTAGCTCTTCCTTGTCCTAGAATTTATTGCAAAATGTGTTCGCGCTGGCTACAAATGTTCCGCCCACCTGCTGTGGAGAAACAGCACCAGGCTCTACCCAATCCTGTTTCCTACGCTGTAAAATAGAATTCTCTAAAACTCCTTCTCAGGGACCCAAACCCAGCATGCTTTTGTGATGGACGAGGTGACCCAAAGTTAGCAGAAGAGCAGGTGGTTACTCACAGCTGGGCAGCAGAACTGGACACTCCAAGGACTCAGGGACAGGATGTCCAGGGAAAACCTGAGTCCAGACCAGGTAGCTGTCACACTTGACTCCTTTCAGCTGCCAAGCAGAAAATTCTTTAACCGTTCAAGGCTAACTACCAGTATCTAGCTTCTGTAACTGGACTTGCTTGCTTTAGCTCATGTGCATGTTGGGTGATGTAGTCAAGCAGAATGTGATAAGGAATGTTTAAAACTTTGCCTGGACTTAGATGTCTGGACTATTGGTTGCGGAGACCCTTACTCTCAGGCTCAGACGCCTATGCAGGTTAATAAAGGCTCTTCAACTCAGCAAGTAAAGTGTGTTCCAGACTTCTTGGATAATCCCTCACCCCCCCCCCCCCCAATTCTTTTGTCCTTTTTTGCCTAAAAAAATGGTTTGTTGTCTTTGTCTTCATTGTTGAGGAAGTCTTGTTCTCAGGCATTTGTTCTTATTTACTAATGAAAAGAAATTGGGGATGCTGGTTGGTGCTCAGGGCTTAGCTCTCCCTCTGTGGTCAGGGATCATGCCTGGTGGTGCACAGGAAACCATACGCATGCCGGGAAACAGACCAGGATGCAAAGCAAACAACTTCCTGGTACTATCTCTCCAGCCCCCGAAAGTCCATTTTTAATTAAGTTTCTGATTTTCTATCATGGAATCCCTGAAAACGCTGTAGTGGATTTTCCTCGAGTTGGGACTGGGCTGACTTAAAATATGTGGCAATGCTATACTTGAATTTGAGTCACCCCAGGAGGAACCCTGAGAAGAACGACAGGGATCTTTGGGAGCGGCTGAAATTGAGATGCAGCCAGAAGAATAGGTGCTTCCAAGATATAAAAGACCCTGCTCATTCAGAGGATATGAGATAAGGAAGGGTCCATGTAGGATAACATTGGTTTGTCCTTTCTCCCTTGCCACAGGGAGCTTAGGTTTATCGGGTTACACCCATCAAAGTGCTCCCAAGTCACTCCCATTTCTTTGTGCTCGCCACCCCAACCAGTTAATCACCTTTTCCCCCAGATCAGATTCTATTAACTTGTAAGATCAGATCCTTCTAAGGACACTGAACTTGTATTGTAAGTTATGTCTTTTACATAGTTTACATTAAAGCAATGTCCTTTCTGTATGGATACAGGAAGACAGATAATATTATGCTTTTGTAACTTGGGAGTTGATTGACTACAAAAATTATTTACTTCTGGGTATCTGCTTTCTTGACTCAGTTGCCCTTAGTTCCTAGCACCCCAAAAGCAGGGTCCCAAAGAGGGACAGAATGGACACAGGGCAAGCTGTGACCTACCCTGGCATCGAAATGGGCCAGGCCAAAGCTCCACAATACTCAACTATAAGTTGACGATATGATCATGGACAAATGCTGTCATAATCCAAAAGTAACCAGATTCGGACCCTGCTGGGGTTAGGAAGAATAACCTAGGGACTGTGCTCTGGAATATATAGTGAGATGTCCTCAGGAAGAACCAAACTTTAAGTTTGATATATCTCTTACTGTGCTCATACAAAATGACATTGCTAGAAATATTAGAAGTAAATTTCCTACAACTATTTAAGTGGATGACTAGTTGAGGAAAGCAGAAAGTAACACACCTTGAATGAATCCTGCCTTGAGCACATCTCCTAGAAATCTGGAGTAATTACTTTAGATAAGATTGTGTCCTTGCATTAATCTCCTGGAGGAGTGGCCTTACCTCTCTTTTTGATTTGTTAATGTTCAACCCATCTATGTATCCCCACCCTATGTGATTGCTATAGAAACTAGGCTGTAAGAGTGGGCTGGGAGGTCGGAAGGAGAATGAGGGGGGGAGCAAGAAGGAGAATGAAGGGGTTTGAGAGAGAGAAGCAGAAGGGGAATCAGAGGAAATTTAAAAGGAGATAGGAATAAACTGAAGTTGATACCGACCAGCCTGGTCCTCAGCCTGGCCCTCGTTTCTTCCTTCGCCTACCCATCGTCATTGGCTTCCCCAGGGTGGAGGAAATAGAGACCACCGAAAGCAAGCAGCAGGAGAGATAGAAGATCGCTGCCCTTTAGAAAATACACAGGTCCAAAGGAGGGAGGCCTAAGCTTCTTAAGCTTAAGAATGGACCTTCTGCGCTGGAGCAATAGTACAACAGGAAAGGATGTTTGCCTTGCACGCGGCCAACCCGGGTTCGATCCCTCGCATGCCATAAGGTGCACACCGAGCACCACCAGGGACAAGGAGTAATATCAGGAGAACTAGGAATAAGCCCTGAGCATCACCAAGTGTTTTCTCCTCCCTCCAAAAAAAAAAAAAAAATGGACCTTCCTAAATCCAGGGGTGGGCTTTTTCATTGAGTCACTTCTCAGTTCCACAGACAATGATAGTCTAACACTGGTTTCGGTTTGGGAGTCTTAGGACCAATGCCAGCTAGGGAAAAAATAAGGGGCTAGAGAGATTGGGCAGAGAGCATCTGCCTTGCTTGTGATTGACCCAGGTTTGAGTCTTGGTTACCAATAGGATTACCTGAGCCCACCAAGAGTGATTCCTGAGCCCAGAACAGGAGTAAACCCTAAGCACTGCTAGATATGGCCCAAAATCTACAAAAATAAATAAAAGAAAAATCAAAACAAGTGTGATTGTAAAACAGTATTTGACACTTCTGTGTTCTTCTGGGAGCCTGGCAATCAGGCCCACAAACTGCCTCTGATGCCGTATAAGCTCATTTACAGCCATGATCCAGAGATTCACAAATAAATTTCGGAAGAGAGCCACAAGCTGCAGAGATGCTGCCAGACCCCAAAGTCACCATCCAGTTAAAAATTTAACTCCAGCTGTATCACCCTACTTAAAATTTTAGAATTTCTGGAGTGCGTGGCTACATTCACAGCCTCTTGACATCTCATCACAGCCTCTCTTGACAGAGGTACCAAGAGTAGCACACAACATTTGATGGAGTGTAAAGTAGAGGGCATCCAATCTCATCCTGACACACACACACACATATATATATATATATATATATATATATACACACACACACACACACAAAGACTTAACCTGTAACAACATGTTAGTAATCTCATATAGCACTGTAGCACT